TTCCAATGTCAAGCAAGATCCCCCGGGACAGGGCGGGCGGCATTGAGGGGGACTCCTTGGGGGCCCTTTGGCACCCAGCAACCGAGAACCCCTTTGCGGGGACGAGTCGAAGTTGGTTCCCTTCATTGGACTCAGTCGCTGATGACGGGATTGAAGCCAACGCCAATGCCACCGCCAGTCATCTTATCTCCAATCCTCTCTCAGTCTTACAAACCTCTCACCTTCCCTGCCATCTTAACAACAGCAATAAGACCCTCTCTTCCCAAGTAAAAAAAACCCTCCGTCGGAAAACCTCCATCGCTTGAAAGAAAACACAGCCACGCCGTCCCTCCACGCAGTGGCTCAGACCTCTCTTTTCCGGTTGATTCTTCCAACCACTCCCTGGCCTCCCAGAAATAAGCATTGTTCCTTCTTCCTCTAGTCCCTTACTCAAAGTGAAGAGAGCCCTGCATGCAACGCATGGCATACTTCAGTACCTTGCATCAGAGATAGAGCAGCACAGCATAGCAACGTACCATCGCAGGATAGCACGTCTCGTGACACAGCCCGTCATCATCACCATCAGCTCCAAATCCGAACCAAGCATCTGCCTTCTTCCTCCCCTCCGTCAAGCGTCCCGCCGCCGCCCCGTCCATCGCCAAGCCCACCACCCCAGCTTCCAGAACATTTTTATACACCCAGCCCTTGGCGGCTACGCCTTACCTTGCACAAGTCAAGAAAAGACTGCACGGCCATTTACGAACCCGCGCACCGCGCGAAACGGACACCCGGAAACCTCCCAAGAAAACGGCGCTTAACCTACAACAGTCACAATCGGTGTCCTGACGGTAAGCCGAAGGCGAAGCGACAAACCTTCCTCGGTGCTTCCACTGTGGCTTTCACGCCGGCCGCCGCCCCGTTTCCCACGGCGTTCCTGACCCTACGTCACAGCCAAAGCGGCCTCTCTTCGTAACACGAATTCGCATTCCCAATTCTCTTCCCACTGCCGCCGCCGTCCCCCAAAGTAACTTAGCGCCGCTTCACAGCTTAATCCCTTTCGAGACCACTGTACCAAATCTAGGACTCGGTGATCCAAACCAAAGACGAAAAAAACTTTCTCTCAGCATTTTTGCCGTTTCGTCCATGCTCGGATAAACATTGTGTTTCTCCATCGCCTTGCCTCGCGCGCGACTGTCTCGTCTCTCAAGCTCCTGAGACCGCGGCCGAGCACCTTCACTATCCAAAAAAGAGATCTTCAGGGCCTGCACATTCCTAAGGGAGCTACTGTACCTGTCCTGCTACCAAGCTCAAGTCCTTGGCTCAATCTCTGCCCAATTCGCCGCACGATGTCGCGGCTGTCTCGAGCTCACATGTCTATGTAAATCCTTAGGAACAGACAGCCGTAGCTTTGCTGCCCTAGGACTGAACCTCTGCAAATCCCTCCCAGCCCAGAGCCCAGCGCAGCCGATCGACGGCATCGGTGACGCGGAGTTTGGTGGAGAACGTGCGGTCTGGACCGAGATAAGGGCCCTGAGATACGTCATGTTTTTCTGTAGGGGGCTGATGATCCCACATCCCGCCCGTCGAACAGCTACAGATGTTGAGAGACGAACGTCTTTACTAGGTCAATCGGATGTGTCGTTTACTCAATTGTTTCACCATGCCACGAATCGTTGAGGCCTTTTGCGAATGATCTTCGTAAGCCATGCGTCGTCTAAAAGTCAGGATGAACGTCGGAAGTGGTAAGGATCGATAGGATTGATTCGTGATTGAAAAGCTGCATGTGCAAGCATCATCATATGTACAAGCTCCTCCACCTTTTGATCGAATGCCTAATCGAGGGAAGAAACATGATAACCAAAAACGAAAAGGCAAAAACAATAATCCCGCGCCTCCTTTTTGCCTGTCCAAAATCCGCGGGACAAAGAGAGCAAACCCGCCAGACCGGCCTGAACCCCGGCCTTGACCATCATGGTCTCGTGTTACTGGTCTGTTGGACCATAGATAGAAAAATAAGAAATAAAATCAGTGACATATCCAACATTGAAGGCCCCTAGGCGGGGCCCTGCGAGCGGGTCTTGCGCGCGGTGCGGCCGACAGGCGGCAGGACCTTCTTGACCTTCTCGGAGATCTTGTGTCCCAGAGACTCCTTGTCCTTCTTCGGGGATTCCTTCTTGGCTGCGCCGTTGGTAGCCTTCGGAGGCCGGCCGGGTTTCCCAGTCTTGACCTTCTTCTCGGCCGGCTTCTCCTCAGGCTCCGGTTTCGCTTCCGCCACGCCGTTGGTGCCGTTGGCGGCGTCGGCGGCATCAACGGCATCAACGGCATCAACGGCATCGAGATCATCCGCCTTGCGCTTGTTACTGGTCTTGGCCTGCGGTGCCGCCTCGCGCTCTCCAGAACCGGAGGGCTCGGCCTCGTTAAGGGCGCCCGTCATCTCTACGTCCTTGGAAGCCGCGCCATTAACGGCATCAGGCTTCTCGATGACGGGCTCCTTGGCCGGCTCGTCCTCGACTACGGGTTCCTCAGCGGGCTTCTGCGCGATGGGCTCCTCGACTGATTCCTTAACAGTCTCGGTTGCTGGCGCAGTTGTCGCAGCTGGAGCTGGGGCTGCGGCCGCTGGCTGCTCTGTAGGAATGGCCTTGGGAGCCTCCACACCGGTCGTCGCAGCCGGCCCGTCCTTGTCGGGGACCTCCTCGACAGTGGCCGGCTTTGGCGCATCGGCGGCAGAAGCATTTGCGACCGGAGCATCAGCTGGCGGGGCGAGCGCAGGAGGCTCTGCGACCTTGGCCGGCTCCTCGGCAGGAACGGCTGGTGTTTCTGTGGCAGGCGCGGGTTCCTCCTTTTTCTCTTCAGCTGGCTTCTCTTCGACCGGCTTGACTTCTGCCGGCTTCTCTTCAACAGGCTTCTCCACGATCTCGGGTACAGAAACTGCCTCTACGCCGTTGGGCTTTGTCTCGGCTGCGGTGCGAGGGGCAGAATGTCAGCGCATCGGTCTTCGGACATAATTGGTGTACAGCGACGGCGAGCGGCATGGCCGGCGCAAGGAGTAGCATCGAGCCAGAGCAAGGCGCAGCTACTCGGCGGGCTCCATCGATTGCATGCGACCGTGATATGAAGCTCGTTTTGGCGACAAACACTCACCTTTGTCGACGCCAGCGACAGCTGGGACAGCTCCGGGGGCAGGATTGGGATCCATTGCGATGACGTAAGGGGGTTGCTGGTATGGGCGCACAGTGCGCGATGACGGTGGTCGCAGTCGGCGAGGAAAAGGTGCTCAATGGCCGCGGCTGGGCGTTCAAGGGCGTAAATTTGATGGAGATGAGATGTTGGGATGTTGACTGACGATGGGGAGCTGGAATTCGAAGATGGAGTTGTGTGGGAGAAGATGGGAGAGAAGAGGGAAGAAGAAGTGAGGTTGGAGTCGGAGCAGAGGCAGGAGCAGGAGCAAGAGCAATGGAGCTCTCCTCGTCCCCAACAACAGATGGGCCTGCTAAGGCGCTGCAAATGCAAAGCAGAGCACCGGCAGCGGTGGCAGCAGGTCATCGCACAGAAACATGGGGTTGGGGAGCAGGACCCGGGGCCTTGCTTGGGTTCCACGGGGCGAATCAGCAGCGGGAGGGCGAGGGCGAGGGCGAGGGCGAGGCAAGGGCGCGCGCCGTTCGGGACACGCCATTCCCATCGGCTGTTTGTGCGTTAATGGTGGTGCAGTGCTGGTGCAGCGGGTGCAGCTGGGCTCGCTCGGTCCAGCAGACAGTCCAGTGCTTCCGTCCCTCCTCTTCGCTGCTGACCATTACTCAGTAGCGGACCAGGCCATCGAACAGGGAGCGGTCCTCGATCAGTGAGAGTGAAGCTGTGAGGTTGCAGGCGAGAGGCCGGCAGTGCAAGGTTCCCCTCGCGGCAGGCTGGGTGGAGAGGAACCTCTCAGCTGCTGGGCCGTCATGTCAATCTGACGTGACGAGAGCTCCACGCAGCTTGCCATCTTGGATGTTGCAGGGCGGAAGCTTGGCCCGGTTAAGAGCCGGTTAATCCCAAAAAAAGGGTTAGGAGGTGGCGCGACGAGAGGACCTGAGCTGGCACAGCTGCACTGCTTGGCTGAGATGCCGGCCAAAGCCGTTCGACGACGTTATGGAAATGGCCCAATCCGGCCTCGAAGTTTGAGGGAAATAGGCGAGCAACCTCATGTAACGATGGCACAGAGCCCTGGGGCTGTTGTCGGTGGCAGGAGCACTGAACACGGGCGGGCAACGGTGTAGCAGGTCCGTCTCAACCTTGGTGCGGTGCCTCCCAAATCTGGTGTCCAGTTCACCCAGTCGCCCTCTCCTCGCGCAAAACGAAGGTAGGACCGTGTGCGTGCCTCAGAAAGGCACTGTACAAGGAGGAGCTTCCTCCGGTGCTCTTTCCTGCTGGAGCTGGGCAGGGCAATTGGGAAGTGGCAGGGCCAGCTGCAGAGTGTCGCAGCTCCGATGCGGGGAAACACTTGCGAATGGCTGGCTTCGATTGGCGATTCTCCACCCGTCCTCATTCAAGCCAATCAAACACCGCTAAAGCTTTCGAACCACGTCCAAGCTCCTGCACGCCATCTGCGATCTGCTGAGCTGCAGAAGCGTGCATCCGACGCCCAACACCCAACTCCCACGATGGTGATGATGTCGGTAGCCTCATCTTCAAATGTATTGCCTCTTAGCTCAAGCAATGATACCCAAAGTTGACTTCAATGCAATGAGTCTCGTCCTGATTAGATTCTTTTCAGTTACCTAAGGAAGCTTGCTACTTCGATCTGATCTTTCACGGCAGGTTCTGGCGATTGATTATTCATTTCTCATTTATCCACATGCTCGATATCCATAGTCCATTGTCTCTCGTCACTATCTCACAGTCTTGACGCCATGTCCTATTGTTCTCATTATCTTCATCGCTGCTCCTAGTCCTCGCTGTCATCCATCGTTACCGTCAACATTCCTCATGCCCAATGTCGTCTTTCATCGTTCCCCTCCACGTCGTTCTTGTCTCTACCTTATCGTCTACTCCTCCGGCTCCGGCTCTGACTCATCATCGATAGACATGCGCTGTGTCTTGATCTTCACGGCTGCCGTTTTGTGGACAGGATCATTCCACATGGAGTTGAGTGCATACTGCTTGGCAACCTCGAAGTGGAAGTCGGGATACTCCTTCAGAGCATCGCAATACTTGAAGAAATTCGGCGCGTTGATCTTGAAACAGAAGCTCTTGACCAGGACGCGACGGAGCTTGTCTTGGACAACATGTCCTTGCTTAAGAATCTCAAAGGTATCGGCATAAGCCCTGAAGATTTCAGGACAGTTGCTTTCGGTGCGAACCTTTCGCTGGGTCTTGAGGTAGTCGACGAACATTTTCCGAGTGCTTTTCGCAAGCCCTTCATTCTGTAGAAAGTCACAAAGTTGGTAAAATCGTGCCTGGTTCGCAATATAGTTCGGATCAGTGAAATCCTCGCGCTTCACTAAAGTCTCCGCTGACGCGCAATTCATCAGGGCTTGCCGGGTGGTGAGTGTGAGATAGAGCATCATGTTGCTGGGTAGGACTTCAGGAAGCTCGATGATCAATGATTCGGACTCTTTACATGGGTTCCGAAGGCATTTGTCGAAGAACTGAGAGTGTTTGGTCAAGATGGGTTTGAGGACCGTGAATGCGCTTACACCCAAGGTCTCCATGTTGCCGCACTTAATGGTAACCATTGGCTTCTTCTCACTACCGAGAATGGTCAGTATTACCCGATCATTTGAACCAGTCCCGACTCACTCCGAACAAAACAGCCAAGTCAGATCCACCGCCGCCACACCGAACGAGGCCGGGACCTCGTTTCCGTCGTCGCTGTTGGATTCATTCTTGTTGGCGTCGTCATCGACGACGCTGTTCGCGTTCGACTCCATCGTTGATCGACGTCGGTTGGTGTTGATCAACGACATGGTTGGTCGTCGTTGGTGGTAGGCAGCTTTGGGTTGCCGAAGTTGGAGGCAACCTGTGTGTGCGTGGGGTGGATGCGTGGGGAGAAACAAGAGACGAAAGGTTTTTCGCCGAAAATCTTGAACCAGGCTGCTGTTGAACTTGCCGTATGTGGAAAGCTCGCACCTGCCTGTTTCTGTTGCCGCAAAGGTTTCCTTTGATGTAGGTAAGAGATAACCGAAACACTCAAACGTTCCTAATCGGACTTTCAGCGCGACCTGAACCGATGCCAGAGTGCAGATAGGAGACAAAGAAGGATTCGAAACCTCCGCTGGAAGTAAGTCCAGATACCCGTCTTCAAGTTCGTGAGTCTCAGGAAGGTGCCAGCGAGATCTCCACGACTGCGCTCCCCACTCCCAAGATCCTCACTATCGACATCAAGCTTCCCGTCCCCAATAGTGCCTGAATCGCCAGTCTCAAAGTCGGCGCCTGCAGTGTGGCTCAGATTGTCGATGCTGCTCGTCCATGACTGACGATGCCCTACTCTAACGACCGTCGCGAAGGGCTTCCCCCGCCAGAACTCCTTCCACGAATATGTCCCCGGCAGCCCTGACCTCACCAAGGTGTTGAGCCATCCTGACCTCAGCAAGGCGCTGAGCCTCCCTGATTTCTGCCAACCCGTTCTCAGCGCGCCAAAAGAACGCGAGAGACTCATCCACTAGATTCTCCGCGTAATCGTCCCACTCGTCATCCCTGATGTTCCGCACGAACGACTGAACAATGGCGCTGGCTTGAATGTCCCATCTCATGTCGACGCAAAGCTGGTACGCCGCCCCAAAGTTGTCAAGGACGCACCATTCCGGGTTCTCCAGCCTTTCGTGGACAACAGGGTGGCGGTAGTAGTGGCGCCAGTGGGTGAGGATGTCGCCAATGTGTTGCTCCACGTAGCGCCTGAGCATGTAGTTTCCGAATTGGCCACAGGTATCCCACAGGTGCAGCTTCTGTGCCAGGGTAGTTTTCATCTCCCACGAGTCCGGAAGCACGCTGCTGAAGGGGGTGATGTGCTCCGGGCTGGGGGAGAACACCAAGCGCTCGTTGAAGTGAAGATATGCGCCGGCGGTCTCCGGGGTCTGGTCATCGATGACATACACGGACCCGGGGCGCTGAAAGTACGTCGAGTACTTGCCCATCGTGCTGAAGCTATTGCGGAACCACTTATCTTGGCACTGGATATAAATGAGACTCCCATTGGGGTCAGCCGGGCTAATGAGAAAGTTGTCGGTGTAGTTGGGCAAAGACTCCCGAGACCAATTCTGAGGACCGTTCATGTTGGCGTTGTTGGATGAATGAGATGGTACGTGTCTGCAAATGGACGAAATAATTAATTCATTGGGAAGAATAATTTGGAACAAAGAATGAACCGAATTCAAAAGCGCAGAGGCATCTATATCACTGTAAGGCATCGGAGATGCGTCCTACGCGGATATCTCTTGAACCTCCAACGCATGAATAAACTCTGAGCGTTCCATGGGTCGCTCGATTTCTTTCCCAAACACAGAAAAACCCTTCGGAGATTGACACAGAACTACAGCAAATCCATTCTGGGTAGGATATTAACTCGAAACGGTTGAGAAAAGCTTGCGCGTTTGTCCTCGATGTTTCTCCGCGAGGAATTGATGTTCAGCTTGGCCATACCTGCCACTCATTGTGACCTCACGAAGCTATCAAGGTGGCGCTGTTACCTTGACAGCACAGCGGTCTTTCATTGAAATGAAGCAAGTACGCTCTCAATGAGGGAGTTGCGAAAAGACAGAAGCTCAGCGAGACTGAACAGACACATATGAACTTGAAATTCGTCAACATCCGAAGAGCAGAAGTTCGCGGATGCTGACTGAAGATCCAGCGCAGATACGTGTAATGTCATGTTTCGACTTCACCCTGAAAGCTGTATACACCTCGAGTGTTTCCCATATTCTGCCTGGGGTATTATCTACCTAGACCGTCAAGGTGACATCGTGAATCAAACGGGTTGTTCGTGACCCTGTAGAAGGACACAAGCCTGCCACGATCCTCTGGCGATTTTGTGTCTGACTCCGTGTCTTCTGAATATCAGTAATCCCTGTCTTCTTCCAACTCTTGCACCTTGTCCTCTAGCTCGCCGACTCGATGGCGCCAATCTTTAATATCGCGCTCTAATATCATAACCCTCTGTTGAAAGTTCTGAACCTTCGTCTTCGTATCGCGAAGCTGCTTTTCCGTATCGAAGGCTTGGGCGGACAGGGCCTTCCACAGCTCGCGAATGAACGACAGGCTGAGGTCGGCCAGGCCGAGAACAGAATGGAGATGCTCAGACGGAAAGTCGAGAATGAACTGCTTGACCACCTGGCCGCGAAGCTTCACCTGGCTGTCGGCATGCTCGTCGAATGCCTCGAAAGCAGCTTTGACGTTGTTAACCCACCATTCTCGATCGTTTTGATTCGAATATTCCCGATCATATCCGAGTTTTGCGATTTGAGCTCCGAGCGCGGTGCAAAGGGCCTTGGACTGGAAGCGATCGGAGACCTGCCAGACTTTGACGAGGAAGACGAGTTTCTTGTGCTCGCCCAGGGCCTCGATCCGCTCCTTGAGCAGACTCTCGCTGACAGATCTGCAGTAGACGAATTGTAGGTATGCATCCAGATGCTCGGGTTCGATGTCGTTGAATGTTATGGTGTTTGCTTCGCACTCGGCGGCGGTGGCGTCCTTCAGACCGGCGGCGAAGAATTCGGAGTGCTGCGTGAGTATGGCCTTGTTGAAGACAAAGGTCTTGTCGCCACACTGGAGCGTCACTGAGGTTTGAGGTTCGCTGGAGCCAGCAGTCAGTAAAGCTTGTCTAATTGAGTCAAGAAAAAGAAACTTACGGCTTGAGAAAGACCAATCCGAGGTTGGGGTCTTGCTGACTTTGGTTGGCCATATTCACGGTATTGCACGCTGGCTGGCAGTTGGGGTGTGAATTGGAAAAGTGTGGTCACACAACCCAAGGCCCGTGGGAAAGATGGAGGGTGTGGAGGATAAATTTTCTTATGAGAAAACAAAATCCAGAAAGACCTGGCTCTCCTGTCCGTTTTTCTGTCGCGCTGCAGTGAGATTTGCTGAACCCTGATAGAATTTCAAAGTTCTTGTCTATTTTCATTTCACGTTCCATCCCCAGCTGGCTCCATCATCTAAGTTAAAGTACCTAGGTAGCGTCCATGTTATGTCTCCACTTTTCTCACTTGGGCGCCGTCTTTGTTCTCCCGAGCGCTGCTGCCTGAAAGAAACACCCATGGGTGTTGTTAAAGAACAAGGCCTTCTTGCTGAGATGTGGTGCTTTGAGAGTCAGCAGAGAAAGCTGCCGGGAGAACGTTTTACTTCGAAAATAGCACAGAGAAATTTGACCAGGGTTCCTGCTGCGTTTGGATATTTTCGCCCCGGGTTCTGTAATAAAACGGTCACAAATATCACTCATGGTTGCAATTTCTTGCTGCAGATGACGAGGTGTCTAGAGGTTGCAGTGTAAGAGAGAAGAAAACGAAAGGTGGGTAGCGCGAAGACCGACGCGGCGAGGACGAAAAAAGTGAGGCCACGGCGAGAGGTTTTACCGGTTGACAAAACAGCAGAAAGGGTAGGAATCAGAAGGGTCTGGATGCTCTTGGTTAAACTTCTGCGCTAGAGAAAGAAAGCATCGTCGTGATGGACATCCACTGTCTTCCAGTCCGTCTGCAGATGCCTTCTTGCCTTTCTCGTCCCGTTCAATCTTCATTCAGCCTCTCCATCATCTTTGCACCATGTCTCTGGCCTTATGCGACCGTCTCTGTTTCACCCCAAGCTGCTGTCCGAAACAAACAACGTTGAATATTCCACTCGTCACAGAACCGCAGCCAGAAAATCCCAAATGGCAAAGGAGCTCGGGAAAAGCCGACTAAGAGTGCAAGAACCCAGGAAAAGCAGTGTTCCAATCCCAAGCATCGCTAGAATGGGTCGAGGCGGAAGTGTTCCCGACATCAGAGGGAGAGCTCACGTGGTAACGAGATTTCGGCTTGATCGGCGGAAAGGGCCTCCACTTGGTCCAGTCACCCATATCCAAGACTCCGGCGTCCACATCCCAGGACTTGGGACAATTCCCAGGGGGATATGTCGTACGGACTCGTTCGCGTTGAGAGGTCCAAGATGTATCGACATCTGTTAGGAGCGAAGCAAAACAGATTGTGAGCTCGCGGACGAACTCTGGAGAATCCTCCAACATAACCAGGTCGTCTCTGAAGTTCCCAAGAGGAACCCAACGACAGTAGGCGGCCACTAGCTTCGCTCGCATGTACTCCCGAGCGTGATCTCCGTAGTCAAGGGTCTCGAATGCTTCCTTGTAGTTCTTGATAGACCAAGATCGTTCCTGAGCAGTCATGTCGTATGCAACGTTTTTGATAGGATGATCCTTGGCCATTTCAAGGATCGAGCAGCCAACGAGTCTGGTCATCTTCGCGTTCATGAAGCGGTCGGCAATCTCGTACAGGTCGACCATGGGCTTCAGGCGCTTTGGTTCCTTCATCAAGCCAGGGTCAAACTTCACAGAGTCCTTGATGGCCTGCATGAATGCGAGATGGAGGTAGATGCTGAGGAGGTCGGGGTCGATGTCGTCGAACTCGACAGTCAAAGTCTTGCCCTCGATGAAATTCTCGTTCTTGAAGCAAGTGGCGAAGTACTCGGAGTCCTTGATTAGGATGCTCTTCTTGAAGTTGAAGGTCTTTCCTCCTGCTTTGAGAGTGACACAGTCCTCCTGCTCACTGCGAAGGCGTTAGTGACGCAGAGTAAACATGGGGTTTGGGTGTACTAACGGCGCCACGAACAACGACGCAATGCTCATCTTTTCGGCAAGCTCCGTCATTTGACAATCTTCAGTGCCATAATCAGCATTGGCCGTGGGTTCCCAGGCTTGGGGAATGCGGGAATCAGAGTCGCATCCGTCCATGTTTGCTGGCGATTTGGTGCTGTGGGAGAAAATGGAAGTAGCGAAAAGCAGATGAATGATGAAAGTGATGAGTGGAGGGCCAGTCCAGCACCTGGGAGAACCAGTGTAAAATTTAAAGCCTGGTTGGGTGGTAAGGAAGGCCGGGGAAAGTTGAGGGAAGGTGAAGTTGGCCAAAGCTGGAAAATAGGATCAAAGACAAGAGAGGGAGCCGCTTTGGGATCAGAAACAGAACAACGACGGGCTAGAGGCAGCAGAATCCAGGCTACAGCAGAGACGCAGCGAGCACAGTTGCAACAATGCACCGAAAACAAATCCATCCTAGATCACCGAGTTCAATCTCAGTCAATGCTGGAGCAACTTTGTGGGCAAGAGTTGTACGCAAAACAACATTCCATATTTGCGAGAAGTCCGCTTAAATGTCTGTACAACATACAGAAAGGATTCTTATTGAAGGAACGACACGTGAGTGTGATTCAGGAGATGATTTTGCTTTTGGATCAGCAGCTCCATCCTTCGACGTTGCCTATGGAAATTTGATTCAGGCAGCAACGCTGATATTCCGCATGACTGCGAACCAATATAAAAAAGCAGTGGCGGCACAATATGAAATCAAAAATCCGGGAAGCTACTTATAATGAGCAAGACAATGTAAATACAGATGCTGAGTGACTAACTGAGGTCTTGATCCGTCATGGTCTTTACTCCCTCAGTTCCCGGAAAGGCTAACACTCTCACCCCTGAGACTCGATGCCATTATTGATACAGAAAACTCTGAAGACGAAAGTGCTGATACTTGTTCATCTCCAGTTTCCGAAGCCAGGCGGTCCAGCGTGAAGAAACCTCGAAGACTAAGTCATGATTGTCCTTGCCTCATAAGTTGGTAAGCTGGCAAATTTAATCCAACCTGGAAAGCTTTGATCCCACGCTTCGTAGGACAATTCAACGCTCTTGCACCCACTTGCCACGATAAACCCACTGCTTCGGCTTCTCTGTTGGTTTCATATCCTTTCTTGCCTCCTGGAGCATGCCGGCATAGCAAGAAGCCACCTCAAAGAGCAGTTCGTGATTGCCCTGGATAAGCTTGAGGCATTCTTGAGAAATAGCGATAGGCATGCAGTGGCAGAGGGAATAGACAATCGCGCGTCGCAGGTGTCTGTCCGTCTCGCTACTTTGGTCGAGTAGCTTGAAGCACTGCGAGAGGCTTCTAATGTAGAACGACGAGAAATTCTCATAGTCTTCGCTCACGAACGAATCGTGCCAAACAGACGGGTCCAAGATGAGATAGCATTGAAGGCCCTCGGAGACAGCAACGGCGAGATCCTTATTGAGGAAGCGATCACAAAGCTGGTAGATCTCGACATGGCCGGGAAACCAGATGCAACGCTCCGGCTCCCCGAAGGACGGAACATCGGCAGATTGCCCGAAAACCTGACAATAGACAAGGTGCAAGTAAACACCAAGGTGGACTGCTTTGATGTCGTCGAAGGTGAAGGTCTTGGTCTGCGACTCGACGTATCGCGGGTTTCGGAGAGACCTCTCAAAGTACTTGGAGTGCTTGATCAGGATATTCTCACGGACGGAGAACTTCTTGTCTTCAGCGATGAGGAAGACTTGGCCGGACCCAGGGCTGGTGTCGGAAGTTCTGGAAGCGATGCGTCAGATTTCGAAGCCATCCCCAACTAGCGAAAAGAACTTACTCGACGAGAAAAGTCCATGCTTCCTCACAGTTGATGTCGAATTTGAAGTCGGGTGCGTCTTCGCTGTTGGTCGAGGTAGCTGCAGAACCCTTGCTCTTATTGTCTTCGAAGGATTCCATGGTTGGCGATCGCATCTGTTGGCGCCAGTATTTGGTGCGGAGTGTTTGTGAGAAGGTAGGAGGGTGTTTTTCGGAGGTGAGCGAGATAAGAGAGGGTCCTGCTGATTGACGCACCGAATAGAAGAGAAGCAGGCTCAAGCAAATGTGAAAGGGGGCAGATGTTTTGGGGAAGAGCATGTCGACTTGTCACCAGCTCGCTCCTGCCTTTGAGCTCCATTGGGGAGCCAGGGTTCCGTCGAACGTAGCCTTCCCGACAACATATCAGTCTTCCGCAATGTTTATACCTTTACTGAAACATAACATTTCATTGTAATTATCACTCACACGGTTAGCAAGAAAGACCGCGCCAACTCCCCTTTCGAGTGCACGGGAGCAGAAAGATTTAGGTCAGCAAACACTGTGAACAGAATATTCAGAAGCGGTCTTGCTCTAACCAGGTTCGAAGGACTATTTGCAGAGGCTAAATGTTTAAGATAAATTAAACCTTACATAATTCTACGTAAACAATTGCTGATATAACAGTCTTTCTTTCCTCTAACCTTTTCTTGAATAAAAAGTTGATATGTAAGTTTTTGAAGTTGTCGTTGGGTAAGGTTCACGTCCCGTCGTGTTAAATTTCAGCACATCAGCGGCGCCTACACCCATCCCATCTCGCTAGAGTTTACACTGCGAAATTCAGATGGAAGCTGGGATGAAAGATCAATCCAGCTGTTAACGAAGTTATCTAATCTGGATTCCAACCGCGAGCTACACGTTGCGAAAATTGCTGGGTTCTGTACCGTTAACCTAGATGCCATTCTCTCAATCAATGTCAGCCACAGTCCCGCATTTCAGCGGAGTCCGTCTGGCGTTGTGGCAGAGTGGTCTAATGCGCAAGACTAGAAATCTTGTTCCTTCGGGAGCGTCTGTTCGAATCAGGCCAACGTCGATTTTTTTGCATTTGGCACTATGGTATACTTGCTCTTTTGTTCTCAACCAACACAACTTTTGCCAATGGCGCAAACTCCGCTCCAAGACACGACCTCTTTTCACATTGATGTGGCATTGACTGAATCACGTCTTACGTAAGAATCCAGCTGCCTGCGAAGGATCCGTCTCATCCCCATTTCAGCTGTAGGGCTGACGTATTAGTAATCTAGCGTCCCCACGAAGGCAACTCCCATTCGGAATGATGCGGCTTGTGAACTCATCATCGCAACTGCTTCAATTCAGTTCTGTCATCGGCGGCACATGGAAAGCGGAGATTTTGCTCGCTACTGGAAGAAGGATCTAGCTCTTCAGCCTAGCATCGCAGTATTGCATCAGCTCCCAACATGGAGGAAACATCCAAGACCAAGCGGGTTCGGCGAAGAAAGGTGAGCGTCTACGAGCCTGAGGCTCAACCTCATGTGAAAGAGACAAAGAGCTGACAGCATCGTCGTTGACAATGGACAGGCTTGCGATCTTTGTTACCACAAAAAGATCAAATGCGACGCCAAGCAGCCCCGTTGTTCAGGATGCAAGCTGTACAACTCAGAGTGCACCTACACTGGCCCCACGAGAGCTCCAGCATTAAAGCCGAACCAGTAAGATGGCCTCTGTCGGAGCTGATGGGATTCCATGCTGACTTTGATACAGTGTCAAGAAGATCGAGATGCTGGAAGCGCGGATTGCGCAACTCGAGGCTCAAAAAGGGCAACCCCAGTCCATGACTCTCCAGCATGTGTCCATGTCTCCCATCGCTGGGGTTGAATTGAGTTCAGCACTGCAGACATTCTCTAGCTCCGATGAAGAGCAGTTTTGGGGGCTAGGAGCTGGGTCGATATCCAATGAATCCCCGAGCTACTCTACCGACCACGACAGCGTCCAAATACCGGGCAACGACTCTAGGACACTCCCACCGCTGCGAGTAGTCCTCCCTATCGTCGAGGACTACTTTGAAAAGTCGAACCAAGTCCTCCCGCTATTCGACAAAGAAGTCTTCATGAAAATGCTGCGTGGATGGTACACATACCCTGCATACCGCAAGACAGACGCATGGGCAGCTGTCAACATCGTTCTTGCTCTAGCTCAGAGGCACTCATATGCTTCGAGTGCGACGGACACCCAGCATATGCAACGCTATATCAACAACGTTCAATCGGTCATCAACGAGCTGGTCGTAAGCGAGCCCAATCTTCTGGCGCTTCAGGTTGTGCTTGGCCTGGTCCTCGTGTTTCACGGCTCATCAGACGTCCGACCTGCCGCGATGATCATTGCCACTGCGATGCGTCTCGTCCACGGCCTAAGACTTTACACCAAGAATCTTCGCCCAGAAGATGAGTATGATGCGGCCGAAATCCTCCAAAGGAACAGAGTCTTTTGGATTGCATACATCCTGGACCGGGACTGCGGCATGAGAACGAGCTCGCCGGCCATCCACCAAGATGCAGACATCGATGTAGATCTCCCCGAAATGCACCCACCCGACAAGGCAGGAATTATAATTGGTTTCTTGGGACAAGAATTCAACTACTTCCGGACCCGGGTTCAGCTTGCTTACATCCAAGGCAAGCTTTACTCGATGCTCCTGTCCGTCAGAGCCATGAAACTCCCGGATCGCGAAAGAACCCAAAACATGATCCGATTGCGGGAGATGCTCGAGAACTGGGAGAAGGCGATCCCGGAGGAGTTTATGGCGCAAAGTGTGGCTGGCATCGTATCAACAGAGTACATGCGGTACCTTTGTCTACTGCACTACACGCATTTGCAGTTGATTGCGACAACGCACTATGCGGACTCCCATCATCTCGAGTGGCTACAAGAAGTGTTGAATTGCAGCAAAAGGCAAGCTCCGCAAGTCCTTCCCGAGGCTTTTGCGGTACAGCTGCCTGATTGCTGGGAGAAGCTGGTTGGAGAGGCGAGAACATGCATGCATCTCTATGCTGCGACTCCGGAAAATGATTCAGCTCTGACTTGGTAAGCTTCCGCTTCTCGACGCAAAGAAACCGCCGCTAACACATACCTAGGCTGGTGTCTTGTGGCTATTTGACAAGCGTCATGTTCATCACGGTCAATAACCTAGCGAACCCGGACCACCCGTGCCGACTTACCGACCAGAGCAACGTGGAATCTGCTCTGCTGCTGTTAGAGAGACTCATCAAGGCCACCGATGACTACCGGCTAAAGAAGATACACGGTGCCTGCAAGGAGCTGAACGAGAAAGCCAGAAAAGCATTGACTCCTCCGCCCTCGACCAACTTCTTCGACCCACCTGGCTTAGAGTTCGGAGACGAGGACCCCTTAGACGAAGGACGGTGGGACTTGATGGATAGTTCGTTCTGGGCTACTGGTGACTTTGCTACGGCAAATTGAGGGCCAAATGTCACGGGAATTTCACGAGGAGTAACGGAGTTATGAACGAACCAAAGCAGTATTATTATGTACCCAGTCAACTGGGATGTGACCTGATGTCCGGCGTCTACAGAGTGTAGCGGAAATCAGGGTGTCTGTCACCCTTCTTGCCTTGATCAATCTCCCGTGCTCTCTCATCGATGCTCATGTTCTCCCTCCGGTTGTTGATCTTGTTCAACAAAGTCCACATGGCGAAGTAACCAACCGACGCGACGGTGATTGTGCCCAGCGAAACGGCGTGGCCGATGGTGTATCTGCCGTCAGAGGCGGTGATGCGGTAAATCTGGCCTGCCATGAGACCAGCGCTGTTTCCGATGGTCTGCTGCAGACCGATGGCAGTGGCGCGCTTGAAGTATCCTGCGTTGCTGTTGCTGATCCAGGTAACGTTCAGACCGACAACGCAGTAGATGCCAGTCGCAGTGACAAAGGTAGCAAAATATTGGACACCGGTCGCCTTCATGCTCACTCCAAGCATAAGCGCGTATCCCGTTGCAGTGACAAGAGCCATAGGCACCATGAAAATGGCGCGCTTATTGAGCTTATCGGAGATGTACGCGACGGTGAGGTATACCGCAGACGCCCAGATGTAGACCGGAACCGTGAGAAGCTGAGTCTTGATGCTGCTGTATCCGAAACCGCGGATGATGACGGGCAAGAAGGTACCGAAGCCGAAGGAGCAGGTGTTCGCGCAGAATTGGCAAGCAGCAGAGAGCCAGACCTTGGGATCCATGAACGCAAGCTTGACCTCCGTCTTGTCAAAGTTCTCAGACTCGCCCTGGTACACCCTCGCCTGCTCAGCGCGGATGCGCATCAGGTTCTTGTCGTCCTCAGTGAGCCACTTCGCAGTCTCGAAGCTGTCGGGAAGTAGCACGATGATGGCGAGGCCGACAGTCAGAGAGATCACACCTTCGATGAGGAACAACCATCTCCATCCAGCCAGACCACTTGCGCCGTGCAGGCTGGTGAGACCGTATGCGAGCAGACCACCAAAGGCACCAGAGAGAGCTGCGGCGACGAAGAGGTAGGAGATTCGGCGGGCCTGCTCCTCGCGCTTATAGAATGTGCTGAGGTAGAGCGTCAGGCATGGGAACAAGCCACTCTCGAACATGCCGATCAGCAGACGCGTCGCAAGGAGACTGGCGTAGTTGGTTACGAAGGCTGAGCCGACGACGGTGGCGCTCCAGGCGAGGATGAAGAAGGGGATCAGGCGGCTCGGGCGGGCTTTCTTGAGGATGAGGGAGGCAGGGATCTCGAAGGTGATGTAGGTTACTGGAGGTTGCGTCAGGCTTATTCACATTGCGGCAAAGGGGTTGCGGTTGAGAACTTACCATAGAAGACTGTGACCGCGACGTTGAGTCTGTTGCCCGTCAGGTTCAAGTCTTCGTTCATGCCGGCAATTGCGGCGTTGCCTGTGGCCAACTTGTTAGCAGTCAAGATTGACACTATGAAGTAATTGACGGCGACTGACCAATATTACTGCGATCCAAGTACGCAACCAAGAAGCAGATAATCATCATCGGCGCAAGCCAAAAATCCAACTTCCTCAACAGCTTTTTCTCAGCGACGGGATCGATCGTGAGATGGGAGCTCGCATCCACTGAATGAGGCGAATCAACGTCGCCATCTTTGGCTTCCATGGGCATCTTTTCCACGGACATGGTCGTTGAAGCTGGTCTCCAAAGTCACGTTGAATCGACAAGTTGGTGTTGTCGTCGGTTGTGCAGACTTAGCTCGAACTGATCAACATCGTCTCAATTGAACGAATCCACCGGCTATGCATTAGACATATATCTATCCAAACATGCATCGTCAAAGGAGGCCAAGCCAGGAGTGAGGTCACCCGATTCACCTATCTAGCCAACCCACGAATTTCCCGACGCTAGCGCTATCATTCCTTAACTCCTCTGCGTCGGGAATTGCCCGCAGCTATCAATCGCGTCGGCTGATGATCCATGCAGATTAGCGGGGATGCCACCAAAAAGCCGGGGAAACATGCCAGGATTGCTTATCACCCGGCCTGTCTTTTTTGATGGGTTAGGGAGCCAAGACTTTGCCCTCGGTCAAGTGTGGGGGATCTCTCAGCGATAACAAAGGAGGAGCTGCGCCGTCGCGTGAAGAATTATGAAAAGGCCGACATCGCCTCGACCCAAAATCTCTCCCCGTCTGGCCCCATTTCCCCGATCTTAGTAGCCCCAACCACCGGGCGCATCTTTCGGCATTCTCTCCGGCCAGACGCGGCTCAGACTCGATGGATTCGACTTCGTCCCCTGCGGCTAACGTCCCGAATGCGAAAAGTCCGATTTCTCGGAAGAGGAAGCGAGGGAGGCATGCTGTCGCGTGCGAGTCGTGTCATCGGCGAAAGCAGAGGGTGAGTTGATAGGCCATTTCTGATTGTTGTCTTGGCGTGGCCTGTTTCTTGAGTCTTTGCGATCGGTTTTGAATTGTTTTGATTTCGGACAAACGGCAATCATTCAGCAGCACGCACAGGCAGTTGGTGTATTCACCGTCTCTTACTGACTCGACAATCTCAAGTGCAACGGATCCCGACCATGCTTCAACTGCGACCGCCGTGGAGTAGGCGCATCATGCTCATACAGCCATCTTGAAGATGATGGTGAAAGACCTGCTCAGCGATCCCGACCTCCGATCATCACCTCACCGGTCGTCAGTTTCGCGACACCAGTTTCACCAACGACAACGCCTTCAATCCCGACACAAGAGCCCGAACGTCAGGACGAGTCCTCGTCCGGATCCGGGGCAATTCCGTCGCGGTCTTCCAGCAGCGGAGGAGGCAGACGGCAAGGCGAGAGTGGACAAGACCAGCCGACTGAATACACCGTTGGCAATCTCTTCAAAAGCCGCGACGCGCCGTCATTCTTTGGCTCATCGTACTTCGGCCCTCAAGCAGCGGCAAAGATCATTCAGGCTCCGGCACCTGAGCTCTCTTCGGGCTTGTCTCAGAAGGCTCAAGCTAGCTCAACGCATTCGTTCCGAGATGAAGGCGGACCATTCTCTCAGATATGGGAGCTGCTTGGGCTATTGCCGAGAAGGAAAACGACAGTTGACAGGTTGACGGACTGCTTTTTGAACGAACTCAACTGGGCTATTGACGCAGTCCAGCCAACATCGTTTAAGGCCAAGTATGAGAACTTTTGGTCTAGGAAGTTTGGCTTTGATGACTTTGCAACCATTGACCTGAGATGGCTGGCGTTGCTGTTCATTGTGATGGCTTATGGTGTCCTCCTTGACTGTCCAAAACCACGGAACAAAGAAGTTCAAAGAGAAGTTCATGAGACTTCGCAAAGATTCTACTGGGCCGCGAGAAGAGCCATCGTCATCGCCCCCACCTTCTATGGCGAATCGACGGACCTCGTCAGAGCTGGAGTGTTGGTGACTCGATACCTCATCTACACTCGCCGTGTACCAGAGTCATGGCTCACCACTAGCTTCGCAATGCGTATGGCCCAGGCCCAGGGGATGCATATTGACGGCGAAAGATGGAGGTTGCCTAGGAAAGAGACAGAGACAAGACGGCGATTATGGAGCAATCTCTACATGCTCGACAAGACAATCGCGCTCGCGCTCGGAAGACCCTTTGCCATCGTTGATCAGCAGTGCATGGTTAAGCCGGCGTCTAACGTATGGTTGGATGATTTGAATGACGAAGAAGCGGTGCATGTCATTGAAGCACCTCTGTCCGAGCCTACCCCAAGCGTCTTCAGTCGCCTTGCTCATGAGCTGGCCGTGATTGTTGGAAAGATTCAGGAACGGTGCTTTGGACTGTTCACAGTATCTTACGAGACGGTCCTGACATTGGACAAAGAAATCGAGACCTGGAGAGGGAGGCTGCCGCCGTATTTCGAACTCGACGACCCCGATACGAAAAAGGATGAACGACTTCCCTTCCTACCATGGCAACGGCTACACCTTCACAGCATGTACCACTTTGCCCGAGTCACCCTCCACCGACCTTTTCTGTTGCGGCAATCCATCACCAATCGATACAAGCACAGTCATGACGTCTGCATCGCCTCAGCCTGTGCTGACTTGGGGATGGGTCTCAAGATGTTCAGTCAACCTCTCAACGACCGTTTGAAATGGAGCTTAGGCCCTCACAACCTCTTCAACAGCGCGCTGGTGCTCGGCATTATTGCCGTTAGAGACCCTCATTCTCGCAGGTCTCAAGCAATCCTCGAAGACCTAGCTGCATATTGCGAGATGCAGCGAAACGATGTCTGGCTCAACGAGTTCGCCCTTGCTGAAGTCAAGATAGTCGAGCTGTGCGTGAAGAAGGCAAGGCAATCTCAACCACCGGCGCCAAACCCGATGGTACCCCTGGCTTTGGCATCTCCAGCCGAAAGGCCCCTGACATCTGCTGGGCCTCAGACCGTGATGGCTACGCAACCTCAGTTGCCGGTCGAGAGCCCTGATTTCGATCCCTTGCTCGTTGGCCTTGGGCTGCCGTACAGCACCTCAAGCGCTCAAATGACCTGGGATGATCCGGGATTCTTTTTGCCTGAGAGTGGAGACTTGTCACAATGGGAGCATGTCATCAACACGATTATGCATGATCAAACGAATATTTAGAGCTCTAGGTGCGCATTGGATCATCAAATCATCTTATCTAGCAGAAAAAATCGCAATCGTTGTACGGAGGTTATCCCACCACCACTCACTCGCGCCATGCCACCATCGGCTTTCTGAAGAATTTGCGGCACAGCGGAGGCAAGGCACACATAGCCCAAACAGTATCGCCCGAACCACAAGCAGGATCATGACCTCCGACATATCCAAGATGACCCTTTCCAATCTTTCCAAAAGCCGCAGGAACACCGACCGGAATACCCTTACAGCAAGGCCCAAAGAACGTTTCGCCATTCTTGAGCCTTTTGCATTCAGGCTGCCCAACATACCAAGCCTCATCGAAGCCGACGTCTGTCAAGTAGAACGATTGGCAGCAGATGAAGTCCGTCGGAAGCCCTGTCGAACCCACCTGGTCTGCGTCTCTGTTCAGCATCGCAGAGAGTCCCTCCGGGCACGCCCTAGCCCGCCAATCCAGACCGGCCAGTGAGAAGAACGAGTTCACTTCCGCCTCGACCAGGACGTAAGAGAAGAACCCCATCGCGATCGCGGTGCCTCCTTGGTGCACATATGCTAGAACGGAATACCAGACGTGGCCATTCTCCGGACGCGCGAGGCCACCGTCGGTTATGAGGACGGCCTTGGGGGGCGTGCTCTGTTGCAAGACTTGAATGGCGGTTTCTGGCTCGGTGGCTACTTGAAGAGTGACGTAGCGCGCTGCTTCACGATAAAATGGGCGCCAGTATTCGTTATGGATCTCGTGGTGAAGGAGGGAGATTGCCAAGAGGCGTGGCTTTCGTGGCACCCAGGTTGTCTCCATCATGCCTGGAATAATAAGTTAACATGTGGGAGGGGACGAGAGTTGGGAATGACACTCACGAAAGCTGATACTATTGCTGAATAACACTGCCCAAGGTGGCTAATTGAGTTTGACAACCTTTTAGAAAGTGGCCACTGATCAGTCCTCCTCTTATGTGACGATGCCATGATCACCTCTTCAAAAAGATGCGTTTCAACTGCCAGAGATTGACTGCGCAGTGACCGGCATGTCTGAGATAGGTGACAATGAAATGCCACCTTCCTGGTTCTTGGTCACAGTAGTTGCAAAGCCAAAGAAAACTTAAGGTTGTCAAACACGACACTCACTTGCGCAAAGGCAGACAACAAAGATCTACTAAAGGCAGCAAAACGACAACTTTTAAAAGTGCACGGCCATTCAATTCATTCTTGGCTCGATATCTGATATCCGATTAAGATAGCTATTTCAGGTCCTTGGCTTGGAGTTCCACAATGTCTCCAATGAGATCCATGAGCTTCGGCTGCACTGGGTCCCACCCCAAACACTTTCTGGCACGGGTCGCAAGACCCCTGGAGTTTGAACCCCATTTATAGGGACCCGTAGAGTCTACTTTGCCAGTGCCGTCCCAGTCAAGAACATCAAGTTCCGATGTCTTGATCAATCCTTTCTCAAAGGCCGCCTGCGCAATGGCCTTCTCCACGTCACCCCACGAGAAGCTTCCGTTCTCAGCAAGGTAGTAGCCCTCATTGTCCCATGTCGCCTTGCCTCCACCACTAGCCGCGGCCTCAGCTAAGGCCAGGTACAGGTTGCTGAGATCTTGGATGTGAACCTGATGCCAGATGTTTTCGCCCTCTCCGATTCTGATTCCCTTCCCTCTTTTCAACACGGTGGTGGCTAGTGCGTATACCTGTACGCTTTTGGTGTTTCCTGGGCCCCTTCCCGGGCCGTAGATGCAGCAGGGGCAGACGATGGCTGTCTTGAAGCTCTTGGATGGCCATGCGATTGTCTCGGTCACAATCTTGTCCACGTTTCGGTGAAAGGCGTCATTTGGAAGATTGATTAATTCCGATACGCCATCCCAGTCGTCGTAGACCTTTGAGCGGTGTGTTCCACAAGTCTTGGCTCTCCCGTCTTCAACGGTCAAGATGCCCGTTCCCGAAGTGTGGATATACCATCCTGGGCGCTCTGCAGGATGGAGCTTGAGGCCTTCGATGAAGGCTCTAGCAGATTCCTCGTGGTCGCAATCGGCGAAATCTTGATTCTTGTGAGACAGAATACCTTTTGGATGTTGGAAGACTTACGAAGAACTATGTCTGCGGCCGAAGCCTCCTCCCGCAGCACGTCCGTAGAGTTGAGGTCTCCAAACACAGGCCTAACGTTTGGGAAAGATTCTTGTAGAACCGCTGCCTTCTCCTGATTTCGAACGAGCGCAGAGAACTTCCACTCTGGATGAGAATGGTAGGCCGCATAGAGGAAGTCTCCTCCGATGTATCCGGTCGCTCCCGTTCTTTCGCCCTGTCAGCCGCAGCTCGTGCTGTTTGTGGAATGCCTTACATGAATACTTTGGGCGAAGCCATTTTTACAGACAACTGTGATAACATTGCTTCAACATTATACCGCAACGTATGAAGGTGTTCGATATTTAAGTGCGCTTTTGATTTAAGTCCGGTTGCCGTCGGAGAAATGTACCTTTGCAGCGCCCTACGAACCCGCCCTATGACATAAAAATAACATCAATCGACTCACGATGCACCTCGTAGGCTGGTTCGTTCGGACTAGCCCCACAACGTATGCATACCCAGTTCATATTAGTAATTCTAGAAGGAACTCATATTCCGCTGATCAACGATTTGAGGACTGCTCTCCCTCAGTGTACTCCGTTGACCTTAACCTCAGTAACACCATTGACCCCATTGACTGCCTTGATTCCATTCACACCATTTGTTGCCTTCTGAGGCTTCTCCTCATACACGACCTTGTTGACGAGACTTCCGAGGCCATGGCTCATGACAATTCGGAGGTCATCGCCAGGTGCCAGAAACACGGGCGGAGTCCTGCTCACACCAATGCCGTGAGGGGTTCCGGTCATGATCACCGTTCCCGCTTCCAACGTGGTACCCTGCGACAGGTATGCCACGATCTCAGCGATTGAAAAAATCATGTCGTCGCCCCTACCTTCCTGCATGACCTCGCCGTTGAGTACCGTCTTCAGCTCAATGACGGACGGGTCCGGGATGCTGCTCGTGCTGACGAGACACGGACCCATCGGCGCGAAGCCGTCGAACCCCTTGCCGAAGCCCCACTGCGCGCCGGCGAACTGGTGCTTCCTCCCGGTCACGTCGTTCGAGCACATGTAACCCAGAACATAGTCGATGGCATCTTCAACACTGACATTCCTTGCGTCACGGCCAATCACCACAGCAAGCTCTGCTTCATAGTCTGCTTGGGCATCTGTTGCCTGGTAGGGAATTACAAGCGGGGCGTTTGACGCATTCAAGCAGCTTGCCGGCTTGAAGAACAGAGTCGGGTGCTCTGGGAGCTCGAGGTTCATCTCCTTTGCATGTTTACGGTAGTTGAGGCCGATGCAGCGGATGGTGCCGATCTCTTTCCGTGTCAGAGGAGGTAGGAGCTTCTGGATGTTGAGGACCTTTTGGGTTGGCTCTGCCGAGGCATCGAGTGCTGATGTGCCGGAGAAGACACGGACGGGGACGGGAGTTGACGCCGCAAGGACCGCTCCGACTTCCGGGATGTGAGTAAATTGGCGGTCATCGAGAACCGGAGATTCTTACCATCGACGTTTTCGTCCACGGGTTCACCGATGTACTCCCTCCAATCGTCCTCGGCGATGAACCGTACCAAACGCTTCCATTTCTGGTCGTCGCCATTAGATAGTCTCACAAGCATGGTTCTGGTGAGTGATGTCTTACCGGTGCCACCATCTTGACTGGTGACCGTTTCTTGGCAGTTTTCCCAGTTCCTCGAAAAGCTTATCAAAACGGGGAGAGAAGAAAGCAAGTTTGTTCGTGTACAGTGAGGGGGATTTCTAAACCCCTGATTTGGCCCAACGGATATAAACGCAAGAAATCCATCACTCATACCTTTGCGTGATTGGCATGTCGCTCATGCATGCCTCTCCGGTCAACGTCCGCCATCATGGCTAATTCCCGAAGGCGTCGGGAAAATTGATCGGCTTTTGGACAAATACGGGAATCCGGATCCGCACAAGACAAGCGTCGGCCTTGGGAACCCCGCAAACCCACATGTCCAAGATCAAAGGTGGTTCGGCAGATTGATAAAGACGAGTTGGCAATTAGGTAACTATCTGCCAATCATCCGGGGAGAAAACTGGCTCGGGGCCTTTTTGGTCTGAGGATGTCCGTCCTGTTCCTGATCCCTTGATCCGGGACGCCTTCTCCGAGTGGGTCCTGATCTTTCGCCCGAGCTGTTGGGTTGATTCGGCCGATGCATCTTTCTCCACGTCGGCTAGTCAACTCAGCGCGATAACGTCTACTGTCTTTTTTTTCTCTTTCACAACTACGGCAATTTTCTCAAATGAGGACTTAAACTTTGTGTTGTCCATTCACGAACGCTTAGAGTCTCTCCCTTCTATGGGCTAGGCTACCCAGGTGGATAGCTCGTTCAGTCCTCGGCCAGCAAACAAAACCTGACCCACGGGTGAGTCACAATACACTCCACTGGGTCAGCTCTTAGGGCACTTGTGGTCCAAAAGTTTTCAACAAGCAACAAGCACGGTAGCTCAGGGGTAGAGCGCTGGGCTCATAACCCAGAGGTCCCTGGATCGAAACCAGGTCGTGCTATCATCACTTTTTTTGCTGATGTTCCTAACATCTTAAGTCTCCTGATCATCAACTGTTCCATCACAGCCCTCGAGGTCTAGCTTCTTCGTTTTTGACCCCGATCTTCCTCTTAGTTCGACTTTGATCAAAATACGACCATGTGAATTTTACTCATGGTCATTTCTCGTAGATGGCCTACTGACCCAAAGGTCGAGGGAATCAGAGCCATTCCAAACAACCTTTGACATAGTGGAAAGCGACTTGTTCCGTTTGGCTTCTGAAAAGGTCACCCTGGAGGTGACCTGCAGCAGACAACACAACACACAATGATTGATTCAAAGAGGCCTTAGGCCTTGGTGGTCTAGGTTGAAACAAGTTCTGAAGAACGTCTGACTCGACAGACAAACGTCACAATGGGGCGTGAGCGAGTTCGAGTAACCCGGTATCCGGGGTTCAATGCCAGAACGTTCTTCAACCGAAGTTCAAAGCTTACTTGAACGTCAGTATTTCTTCGCAAAGTGAGACACGAGTCTTTCGATTAAAATCGTTGAGACCTCATTCGCCTTTGCACTTGCACTTTGTTACCACATCCACCATGGAGCCTCCTTTGACCCCAGACTACTACGGAGACTTGGGCGTAGACCTGGAGGCAACAGAACAACAGATACGTCGAGCTCACAATGATCTTGCGCTGAAACACCATCCTGATAAGCAAGCCCCTGGTGCGACCGATGACAATTTCAAACGGGTATCCTCCAGCTTAGTGTTGCAATACCAGCGGCAATGTCAGTGAGTTGTAAGCGGCTAACTGTACACAGATCCGGGAGGCATATGAATGCCTGTCAGACCCTCTGAAGAGAGCGAATTACAATATCAACCTCCTCGATTCCCTGCCCGGGTGGATAAGATACCGAGCATGGCAACAGGAGGAAACGAGAAGACTAATAGCGAGATTGCGACGTTTGGATGAGGAACAACGACGCATGGAGGAAGAGGCTCTTCTGGACGACCTTCGTGGACATTTGCGGGAATGGAAGAAACGAAAGATACCAAATGCTTCCGGAGAAGAGTTTTTCAGAGTGTTGACATCCTTGATAAAGCGTGAAAGAGGCGGCTGAAAGGAAGAGTCCTTTCGATCCCTGACCAGGGGACCAAAGGGTACCTAGGTACCCCCAGAACATATCCGCGGCGGTTCAACGGCCACACTAGAGGTGGAGACATAGAACGAGACAGACGACAACAACCACAGAGAACGCCGGCAGACGACGACGCCCACAGATAACGTCGGAAGACGACGACGACAGGGAACGACAGAGAACGGGACAGACGACGACGACGGTGATGAAGGCAGATGGGTGAGCGGTACAAGGAACGTACCTTTCTTAATCGATATAGCCGGCAATTACGAGTAAGTAATGCATAATCTAAACCTTACTGGAGGGTCGTACGTTGCCGCACTCTTGACTTCATGACCGCAAAGCCTTCTCTGTCTATGTATCATGACACAAGAATTACTTTACACAAATCCAACACTCCATATCCGTTTCACGCACCGCAGCATTTTGAAGTCCTGACTTGCTTTTTGGACAAGTCAGTAGGTCGCCCCGGAGACATCTAGATAAGGACTCCGCCTGTTCCTGCCCACAAAGTCCTCAATTCCGCTTCCCAGCTCAGCTTCCCCATTCGTGATTACATTTTCTTGCGCTTTGGTTTGCCGTTCTTTGCCTCTGCTGCTTTCTCCTTCTTCCGTATGAAAAACTTCTTCGCGGTGGCTTCTTGACGTTTGTTCGCCTTCCGACCCGCTTCGTTGGCCTCCGCGATTCTTTCCTTTTCTAGGAAGCGTTCCCAATCCCTTTGTTGCTCCTCAACAACCTTGCGTCGCTTTTCAGCTCTTCGTTGCTCTTTAGCCTCGCGCTTCTCCTCGGCTTCACATTCCTCCGTGTTGGGCTCCTCTTCTGCCTTCCGCTTCTTCCTCTTCTTCTCCTCCGATCTGAGCTGTTCTTTGGCTCTTTCCTCTGCAGCTTTGCGTTGCTGCTCCTCCCATGCCTTTTGACGGGAGTGCAGGTCTTGCAACGCCGCATACTCCTCTTTTGCCTGCCTGACAGCTTTGATCTTCTCGTTGCGCTGTCGGCGCATGGCCCATTTGGCTTCAAGCTCCTTCTCGGCGTTTGCTGTCTCTTCGTCCAGACGCTTCTTCAACTTCTTCTCCTCTTTATCGATCATCTTCTTGTAGCGGCGCTCCACCTTCTGGAGCTCCTCCTGTAGCTTCTGTTCCAGAGGCTGAAGTATGTTTCTGCGGTCCGCGTCCACTTGCTGTCGGATATCGTCGAATGCTTCTGCCCGTTCTCTCTCCTCCATCCGAATCTCCTCCTTTCTCATCTGGTCGTGTATTGCTTCCCATTGGAATGCTTTGGTCATCTTGATTCTGCGTTCTTCCTCGAGGAATGCTTCCATCTGGCACTCCCACTCCTCTCCAGATTGTTGCATAGCGATTACTTCCTCCCATTGGCGATTGACTTCTTCCTCTGCAGCTTGTTTCTTGGCTTCCTCTGCAGCCCATCGTTCCGCTTCTTCCTCAGCCCTTCGCTGGACTTCTTCTGCAGCTACTCGTTCGGCTTCCTCTGCGGCTATTCGTTCGGCTTCCTCTGCAGCCTTTCTTCCGGCTTCTTCTGCAGCCTTTTGTTTCGCTTGTCTTACGGCCTTTCGCTTCGCCTTTGCGGCCTCGCGTTCTAGGAATATGCGGTATTCATCCCACTCGCTGTGGATTTCCGGGTACTGGGCGTCATACTCCACACGCGTTGCTTCATCTCGCAGAACTTGGTAAGCCTCCTGGACCTGTACGGAATGTGTCAGTCGAAAGTTCGAGCCTTGAAGAACTTTTGAAGAGAACGGAAGAACACGAAAAACCTTGCGGAAGTCATGTGCGTCTCCGCAAGCTCCAGGAGCCTGCTTGTCCGGATGGACTTTCAGCACAAGATTGGTGTACGCCTTTTCAATTTCTTTTAGCGTCGCATATTCACCAATGCCAAGATCTGAGTAGTAATCCGGAGTCTCTGGGGGATTCATCTTGAGCGAATGACGATGCTTTGTTGCATGAGGAAAGCCGGCTGGCGTGTTGGCAAGGCGGTCCGGAAATCAACTCTGGTTGGGGTCGGCTCTGGCAAAACATGCAAAGTCTGCTTTATGAGAAAGCGAGGGTGTGCTGTTGATGGTTGATTTCCCTGATTTGCATATGATTTTGAATAAGGCGCGTTGATTTGGCTTCGCGGAATGCTTCGCGCAGCCGAAAAGGTTTTCTGCTTCTCAGGGGAAACGACGGAGTCCAGGCGACGTGGTTTCGTGCAGCCGTTATGAGCGCGGTAGGTTCGTGTTTTTAAAATCTCGGCCTGGAATCTCACCTGAGGCGCTGAAATTGTGAAATTCTGTTGTTAAGCGAAAGGTGAGGTAGCGGTAGCGGACGGTCGACGTTCAGATGTGGGGACCCACAGGGACGTCTTCACAGTCTTTTCCAGTCCCTTTGAATCTTTTCTCGCTTTTCAGTGTTGACGCTGAGCGTTTAGCGCCTCAAAGGAAGAAAACGACCCTTTGTGAGTTGCTAGTAAAAGCTGTGAGACTTGTAGAGTCCGCCTCCCCACGAGGTGCTGCCAAGGGGAAGGTACACCCATCGTCCCCATCATTCTTAGCGTTCTTGCCTTCGCCGTTAATTTTCTGTATGATTTTTTCATAAACATATGGATCAGTTCCTAGAGGATTGATAACTAATTAGAACATCGTTAAACCTTACTTTCAGGAGAAGTCACACATACACCCTCCCAAACTCAACAGATTTCATCTGACTGGAGTCTTTTTAGGAGACTCACGAGACACTACTAATTCGTCATCACAAAATAAGTTGGACCTTCCGCAACCGCTATCGTCATTTGATTCTAGTAACTAGGTACGGTTCATACACTCAAACTCGGGTTACAGCCAGCCCTCATCCCAACGCACATCTTCATCGAAACTGCCTATCCCATTCCAAATTAAAAGCAGTTGAGCGGCGTAGCTGGTCTTGTTTTGACCAGACCATACTTGCACTTCGGACAAAGCTTCATCCCACACATTGGACATTCGAAAATTGATATCACCGTCTTCCCCCGGCATGATTCGCAGCGCGAACCGCCCGCTTTCCTAGTCCAGCCGAACCAAGCATGGTCACACTTTGGGCGCCCATGTTCTCCGTAAAGCATCTTAGCCAGCGTGCGCTCATCTAAGTGAACTTCCGATGCTCTATCGCGCTCCAGTCTGACCATCTTCGCCATCTTCTTCGATCGCTCCTTAGTCTCGAGTTGGCGCAGACGATGCCGCTCTCTGGCAGAATTCTCTTTCCACAATTCTGCCTCCTCCTGCGCGGCTTTAAGCTCTTCGAGTCTCAATTGCCCCCATCGCTTCTTCATTTCTGCTTCTCTGAGCTGTCGATTCTTCTGAGCGACCTTCCGAAACGCTTCTCGCTTCTGCTCCTCTTCTCTCTGTTGATCTTCACGTTTCTGCTGCTCCGCCTTCCAATGAGCTTGTCGAACTCTCTTCCTCTTGCTTCTTGACTTCCGCGGCCTTTCTTTCTTCCTGTATCTTGATGGCCTCAGCTCTTTGCTGCTCAGGTATCAGAGCCAGCCGATCCTGCTCAGCTGTAATGTAAGTCGCCCATGCATCTTCGCGAGCTCTCTGCTGCGCTTCTCGTCTGTCCTGCTCAAGGAGAGCTTCAGCCATTCGTACTGCCTCTTGCTGAACGGCTTCGACTCGTGCTTGATCTTCCTGTCGCTGCGCATTAGCTTTCTTCTGCGCGTTTCGTCGCCGATCGTTGATGCTCTGTTGCTGGCGTCGCTGAGTCTCGCGCTGCTCAGTCTCTCTTTGCTCCTTCTTGGCCTTTCTCCGCGCAGCCCTCTGCCTTTTGGTCCGTTCTCTCCGGGCTTGTTTGCGTGCTTCCTCTCTCTGCTGTCGTTTCTTTTCTCTGCGCTGCTTCGCTTCCTCTCTTCGCTGGTCTTCCTCATCGCTCTCTTGTCGAGCCTCGGCCTCGGCCTGACGTTGAGCCTCGTCTTTTTGCCATTCGCGATGTCTCTCGTAGGATCTCTTCGAGTCGCGGTAAGTCTCGTCGTACCTGCGGCGGTTTGCTGGATCCTTAAGAAACTCATAGGCTTCACGAATCTGGATGTGGAGCTCTTGTCAATAAGATACCTCCTTGGCGTGAGAGCAAGAAAAAAGAAAAAGATGAGAGAAAGAGAAAGAAGCTGAGCCCAAGATCGCCGATCAAATGTACACGCACCTTTCGAAACTCGCTAGAGTCGCTGCGGTCTCCGGGTGCCTTTTTGTCTGGATGAGTGGTTCTCGCCAAATCCCGAAATGCTCGGCCGATTTCTTGCGATGTGGCAGTGGGCCTGACGCCCAAGTCGCTGTAATAGTCCCGCCACTGCGAAGGATCCATGGCGAACCAAAGATGTCCAGTTGTCGGATGGATTCAAGATAGCTGGAGTGTAGGCCAGTCGGCTTGGTGTTCTGATCTGTTCAAACTCAGAAAAAAGGACCCATGACTTGGTTCTGAGTTGCAACGAGCGCGAGCCGGAGGACGCTCTGAGATGCCGAGGGCTCGTGGGAAAGGTGAGGAAGAGGTATCCCGGGTCTCTTCCGGGCTAGTACGGTTTTGAGCACATGGAGTTCAAGCGCGTGGAGGGGAAGAAAACTTCTTCGTGAGGTGAAGAGGTGTGTGGGATTTTTCTCGTTCGGTGCGTGATGTCTGCCCTTACTGATGATATTGCGGGAAGTCGCGACCAATCCGGGCCCCACATGAGCTCCTTCCCGCTCCGAAAAGCAGCGGGTGTGGGGCCATACCGACGTCTTGGCCCGTGCTTGGCGACGGACGACATTCCACGTCTCTGCAAGATATGAGCCGACGGGACGGGAGAGGGATCACGTGCGGGATAGGTGTTGGTCGACATATGCGTATCATTCATTGGGAGTGCAGCCGTATGACGGCTTCAGCTGAGGTTATATTTGGCGATCCGCAGTGCCTTACTCGGGTCTTGGAATAAGCATCTTCGCGGCGCCTAGACTGGAGCTCTCCATGACGTTTGAGGTTCTCATCTTTTCGCAGATTGTCATTTTTGGGATATAGTACTTTGCGATGCGCCTGCTGACTTGTTCTGTTACGATATACTGAGTGCTTTACGTTCACCAGTGTTGTTGCCTCTGCTTGGGAACCCGATCCCCAATTCAGGATCAGGGAGGGTGATCCACGTCCACTGCCACCGCCTCGCTGCTTGTGGCTCCCTGAACATGTGTCTCCGTAGTCTCTCATATTGCGGACTATCATAATGTTTGTAGGTAAACTTAAATAACTTTGGGTAGACCGACCGTTAACCAATCAGGCTTTCACTCATTCTCTTCGTTCCCTTTAAACTAATCATCTTCTTTCTCTTCGTTCTTATTTTTGCACATTTTTCGTCTTTTGTGTTTCGACACCGCTTTGTTGAAAAGAAATTGGAAAAAACGTCCCATTAGTCTTGCTGGTCAAGGGTTTTCCACCAAACACTCCACACCATCTCAAGCTTTTCTCAAGATGCCAACCCTTAATGTGAGCGAGTTGAACATTGTCCTCGGCGTCCTTGGTATGGGCTGATGCAGTTGATTATTAGTGAAGTGGTGTGTACTGATCCTTATCAAAGGACTGTTCACCTTGCTGTACGGCATCATCTCGGTCAAGATCAAGTGCAAGTGGTACTTGGGTGAAGCCTGTGAGTGACCCAAAGCATGTTGGCTGTCACTGAACATATGTGCTAAGCGTCATCTCAGTGCCTGCGGTCCTCATAGGTGTCCTGCTGGGACCCATATCAGCCAAATTTCTCGACAGCACGATGGGGCTCTGCAACGGAGGGACAAACCAACGCCATCACCCTGGTTCGTGCCCAAATGTCCCATTCCTCCACAAACCCCAAATTCCGAACCCGATCTGACCAACATGGAACCAGGGCCTTGCTCACGTGATGATTGGTGTCCAGCTGGTGATCGCAGGCTACCAGCTGCCCGCCAAGTACCAATAATTACGAAGGAAGGAGATGGCCTTGTGTTTGCTTCCCATCATGACGATCATATGGCTCTGTACTGCCCTCTGCATGCTCGCTACGGTGCCCAAGATCACCTTGCTGGCGTTACGTGCACCGACCCCATCCTCTCCCAGGCCATCGCCAAAGGACCCTTCGCCGACAGGTTTGTTGCTCGGCCTCTGCGCGAGATCATCTCCTCTGAAACGGGCGCCAACGATGGCTTTGGTGAGTGACCTGCTCACCAATCCGATGTACCCAGCTAGCTAACAGCCAGGCAGGATTCCCTTTCCACATGCTGGCCGTCTACCTCATCCGCCATGCCGACATTCCTGGTGCTGGAGAAGGAGGGGAGACCGCTTCGGTCGCCGAGAGAGCCATGAGTCTTTTTGCTCGCTCAGAGGAGGGAGTCGGTCGTCTTGGCGGCGGCATCCACGTGGCTCTCACCAACTGGGTCGTCGAGACGTGGCTCTACATTGTCTTCATGTCTGTTGCCATCGGCATCGTTGTCGGCTTTGGGTCCGGAAAGGCATTGAATTTTGCTCTGCGTAAACAATGGGTTGACTCTGAGAGCTACCTTATCTGCCCCACCGCTATCGGCATAAGTCATCAAAAGCTTTGCGCCATCTTCAAGTCAGCTAACCGTGTCTTCAAAGCTGTGGCTCGTCGGCATCTGCGGCATGCTGGGCACAGACGACCTGCTCGCCTACTTCGTCGCCGGCAACGCCATGAACTGGGACGGAGAGTTCTTGGCGGAGACCGAAAAGCGTCACGACGAAGTCAACTCTTGCGTCGATGTCCTCCTTAACTTTGGTGACTTCATGTACATCGGCACAGTCATGCCCTGGGACCAATTCAACTAGCCGGACGTCACCGGCCTCACTTAGGGCCGCCTCTTCGCCCTCGGGGGTTTAGTCCTCCTCTTCCGCCGTATCCCAGCCATCCTGACGTGCTACAAGATCATGCCTAAGGTGTGCCAGAACTGGAAGGAGGCGCTGTTCATGGGCTACTTCGGTCCTATCGGCGCCGGCGCTGTCTTCTACGTCGAGCACACCCGCCACCTCTTCCCGGAGCTCGTCAAGGGCGACGAAGAGGAGACGAACCTCGTTCAAGTCATGGCTCCTGTGGTCTACTGGCTGGTGCTTTTCTCGATTGTTGTCCACGGGCTGTCGATCCCTGCGCTGAACCTGATTTACAAGTACGCCGGCGTCAAGCCTACCCAGGAGGCCGCTACCGAGATCCGCCGCGTCTCGATGCATGTGCCCACGCCGAACAACGCCATGGTCGGCGACCGCGACACGTTCATTGCGTATAACCGCTTCTCGCGCCCTGTATTCAACACTGCTGAGTTGCCGTACTTGAAGAAAAACCAGAAGATGTACACACACGATGAGAAGTCTTTTGACAGCTTGGGGGAATAGATTTGAAACGGAATTTTTGGAGAGATAGGACTAAATGGCAGTCGGGAAATAAGATCAAATTGTAAAGCTTCTTGCCCCTTTGACGGGCAATCAACATCGCATAGCTTTAGTCGATTCAGTTTCTCATCTACTCTCAATCCGTTCTTCGAGCCAAGCTACCTTGATATCATGATGCATGTACTCCAGAGGTTCCTGCAGTCCGTTGAGATGTCATGCGAAGGGGGCAGCAACGTGTGAACCAACAACTGATGAGATTCCGATCGGTATTAGGCGAGCAACCATTAGTCGAAAACGAATGAGTTACTTTGCTGTTTCTCCGTTTGAGAGGTGACTCATTGTTCTCTCAGCGGGAAGGTGCAGTCGAGCTTGGCCCCACCTGAGTGCCTTCCCTCCGCTGCGCGCTCTGAGCAAGCGGGTGTGGGGCTTCGCCAGCCTCAAACGCCCGCTTGTCTTTGCCAACGACTTCTCACCTCTGCCACCTTCAGATCGGCAATTCTTTTTATTCCGGTTGTTGTCTCCTCCCTCGACGAGAGAAGGAAGGGGCCGCCAAAAAAACAAGACCCGACTCGCGTCCACGCCGCCACATCCCATACTCAATCACTACTCACTCAGAACTCTCGACGGCATCAAACCGCCATCATGACGAACCTTCTCGACCTCCCTCCTGAGTTGATCAAGCGGATTTGCGAGGAGCTCTGCTACCACTGCCGAAACCCGAAGCATTTCGTGAACCACGACGAGGACGATACCAAAAACGACAAGCGATCATTGGCAAAGGTGTGCCTGACAAGCCGAGCTTTACGCAACTTGGTCCAACCGATCCTCTACCACTACTACGCCACTGGCAACGGGCACTGGGTGCACCACAATGGAATCGACGAGTACACCAATGTGCAGGTACAGATGGAGCATGACAGACTTCCGTTGTTCCTACGCACCATCATCGAGCGTCCAGACCTAGGCCGAATGATTCGGGGCCTTCAGCTATGCCACAACACAAACATCCAAACCTTTACTCCTGAGCTCTACGTCCTCTTCCACCGGCATGCATCTCAAATGGGGGGACCATTCACTTACCATGACCCTTGCCAATGTAGCTCTACGCAAGGATGGAACTGGAACCCCCAGGCAATGGCGGCGACGATGGCGACGGGGACGAAGATAGCAACAGCGACGGGGACGGGGACGGGGACGGGAATGACGCCAGCAACAGCAAAAACGGCAGCGACGATGAAAGACGCGGACTATCGTATTTGCTCCTACAACCGAGATAGGCTGCGCCGCTGGATGATGATGATTGCGATCGTCAAGACCGCGGCCAGTCTCGAATCGCTACTCATAGCTCCCATGGGACGAGGACGCCAATTCCCGCTCCTCTCGTCATTCGCGTCCGAGTTGCTCCTCCCAAGTCTCAAAAGAATGCTATTGAAAGGAGACGTACAGTATGGGTCCAACGCGAAGGAACTACTTGATCTTCAAACATTCGCCTCCGGAATTGAGGAATTGAACGTCGACTTCGAGGCCCGCAACAGCTTTGCACGTTGGAGTTTGTCCGTCAATTGGAAACCGATGAACAATTTGAGAACGCTCTTCTGCATCAACTTTAATCCTGAAGTGCTGAAGGGCTTTCTTTCAAACTGTCCTGCGCTCGAAGATCTGGAGTGTTACGTTGTGGACAAGTACGGCCTTGAAGACTGGGCTCCCTCAGAATACAGCGCGGCTTTCAGACAGACCAAGAGAACGCTTCGGAGACTTCGCTTCGCGTGGATTCCACGTACAGGCGATGATGAACTCCATGACATTCTCGAGGATGATCAGTATTATTCTGTACTTCAAGCTAGACACACCCACGGCCCACTTGCGTCATTCAACGATTTCACAGTGCTACAAGATCTTACGCTCGACCAGCAATCATTCTACCGTCCTTCCCAAACCTCCAGCAGCATCATCTGGTTTCTTCCACCAAATATCAAGCATTTCCAGATTCTGTACGCTTTCTTCAACATGGGAGATAACCTCACGTCCTTAGCTCATAGCGTCAAGCATGGGTCATTCCCCAGTTTACACACAGTGACGCTCTCCGTCTTCCACCGGGTGGGCTACGACAGGACGCATACATGGGACTGGATTGAAGAGTCCCGCGCTGATTTTGAGAACGTTAGAGTTCAATTCATTCATGAAGTACGACGGGGCTGGCATGAAAGCGACGAAAGCCTTAAGGGCAGTGGCAGAGACACGAGAGGGTGCGAGCCCCTGACTATCATCCCAGGGGCAACTGCAGGGTCTAGATACGTGGCTTGCGAATGGTCTGAGTCATGGAAGTGGTGCGAACATGCGGAGTGGGCTGAACCCACAGGCTGGCCGATTGATGCGGAACATTATGATTGCGAATTCCATCTTCTCCAGACAGGGGAGTCTTGGTCCGTCTGTGACTGTTGTGACGACATCGCGGTGGTGGACGACTCTGAATGAATGAATGTCGGAAAACGGGTGGTTCATGTACATAGAATGGCTCTACCCGCCCGCATCAGACCTCTGCTACTCAAGGAGATGCATTGCTCTAGCCCTTAGTTGAATCTACATTCGACTAGATTGCGATCGTGAAGGTGGACTGACCGATTGAGCATAGGCAATACAATGGAAATCAATGACATCGTTGTGAGATAGATGTTGAAAACATAATACTCCAGACGACAATCTACGAATTTTCCAGAGCCATGAAAACGACTATGCGGGGATTGTTGCTGAACATTCACCTTGTGAAGTCAGTTTGCGAAAATCTGTCAATCTAAGAGCTGGCTGTTCAGAATCAAGGTTGTCTGCCTCTTTAGTGCGAGCACCGAAAGGGTACCTACCTTATCAACGAACTCAAGACATCAACCTTGATGCCAAACAGCGTTCCGGAGATATCATATTGACTAGGTATTACTATCAATCGTCTTTTCCTTTGGAAACATTCACTTCTCGATCCAATTCTTCCCAGCTTTAAATGCACACGCACCTACACCTTTCGTTTCCCGTTCAAATTTCCATCGCAACGATCCGATAAGCAATTGCCAAATAGGGCTTCAAGTTTCACGATAGTAATTATGGAGATGATTACAAGCACATCGGCAATTCTAGCCATCTTTGGCCAGGCGGATATTGACGTGTGCCAGGCTGAAGACCGTAACTCACCCTTTCGTCGACCTCAGCAGTCCGACCCTCGGATTCAGCTTCGCAGACAGGGATCTGCCGCGATCGATATTCTCTTCCTAGAACGCCTCTCGTCTCTCGGTATCGGGAAGCCTGATAGTGTTTCGACGACGCGGGTCACCACGCGCTCGTCTTGGAGAGATCTCCGCCAGGGCAGGTGCGCTCCTGCTCTGGTTGTGCACCGAGAGGGTGGGCAGCTGATTCTCACATTCACCCAGAGCGCAAAGGCTGCTCACCTCATTCACCAGTACAACTTCCCCCCTGCCTTCACCACCCTTATCTTGGACAACTACCGGCCTCCCAAGATCTTCCAAGATTCTCCTCGGCCACGAGATTCTCCCCGCATCCCTTCTCCCCTCGTCGTCTACTCTGGAAATCAAACGCATCCCACAACCCACGACACTTCAGGCAAGATGCGCTTTACTTCGTTGAACCTCCTGCCCCTATCCCCTCTCGACCAGATCGCTCCGAGGATCTACGTGAGATCGATCTTCGCGCTCAACACTAGCGAAGGATACGACTCGGTCACCACCAAGGAGCACCTTCAACGGTGCTTCCACAAGGCCCTCGCCCGATGGCCGTTTCTGGCTGGCCAGATTCGCCCTACCGCGATGGACCGAAACCGTCTCGAACTGGCCTACACCCTGGATGACAAGGCCTTGGATCTCGCCCGCCGCCCTGATCTCTTTTGCTGTGACCGCATCAATGAGCTTGGAGGCTACACTTATCAGGAGCTGGTGGCTCTCGGAATGCCCCCAATTGCGATGGACAAGGACATCCTATCCCTCTCGCCAAACCATCCCAAGCCTGGCGAATCTTGCCCTCCTGTCACTCTCAAGATCACCGAGATGACTGGAGGTGGCCTCTTTCTGTGCTTCTCGACGCACCATGGCATCTTCGATGGAGGTTTCATCAAGACCTTCCTCGAGTACTTCGGCAAGATCGCGCAAGAGGAGTCGACGAAATCCTGCTCGCTCCCTGAACCAGCCATTGAGATGCAGCCAACTTGGCTCACAGAGCTCAAAGCCAGACCCAGCTTGTCTGTGTACGAGAACACAGACATCAAAGGTGCCGAGTTCCCAGAATATGATTTCACCGACAAAGAGAACTCTTCCACCGCTTCCACCAACACCAAACCCCCGCGCGCGGTCTGCAAAATCTTCAGCTTCAACAACGCAATCCTGAAGAATCTCCAGACTGAGGCACTCCGATACCTCCACGAGATCTACGGTAGCACTACCTTCGTCTCCAGGGCCGACACTCTCTCCGCTATGGTCTGGGTTCACGTCACTCGGTCGCGCCTTCCCCATCTGTCGCCCTCGGATGACACCAGCTTCACCACCGCAGCCGACGCCCGCCCTCGCCTCTCCCCAGCCTTCCCTGCTACAGCCTGGGGCAATATCTACACCCAAACCATGGCTGGCAACCAGGTCGGCATTCTCACCCAACTTCAGAAGAACGGCGAGCTTCCCAGCGACGCACGACCTGCCATCTTCGAGGCAGCGTGGCTGATCAGACAAGCGGTTGAGAAGGTCAAGCAGCCCGATTACATCCCTTCTCGCATCGCACTCGCTACATCTCTCGAGGATCCCGCCATGGAGGGCGCAGCTTTCCGCAAGGCAAATCAGCCTGACCACGCGGGCTTGAGCTGCAGCGTCTGGGTGCACATGGGTGCCGATGTTGACTTTGGAATCCCTGGCACTGGTGGGAAGGCAGACTTTGTGCGCAAGACGTACTCTGCCAACGATGGAAGTATGAATATCATGCAGAGACGCGGAATCACGAAGGGAGACGCGCCCTGGGATGTACTCCTTGCGCTCAGGGATGATGATATGGATCGTGTCTGCAGCGAGAAGGAGCTTGGTCAGTGGACGCAGGATTGGTGCCCGCGGTTTTAGATAGGATATGTCATTGGGTTATTTGGTGTGGTGTTTTGGCGAAAGGCGTCTGCATGGCAAGGATACTGAGGAAAAGATACCCAGGGGGTTTTGCATCTTTGCTATTAGACACAATGCACATGGATGTTTGTGATGAATTGCTCATTAAAGACACGGCGATCGTTCAGCTTCTCGTATGCTTTCCATGAGTCTCTTTGTTATCCCACGTATCACATTTAGTATCATCTTTGTTATTCTTACCGTCGCCATGGTCGTTTCTCTTGTCCCTTTTGTCCACCGTCCTCCCTGACGTCCACTTCGTCCCTGCGGCGTCTCTGGCGCCTCAGCCATCCATATTATTGTCTTTGTGGTCTGCACATTTCCAGATACCTATCTTCATCAACTGTACTTTAGGTAGAAGCCGTTCTAATTCAAGCCGGTTGTATTCTGCCCAAAATGGGTGAACATCCATTGACAGACAGCCCATGAAAAGATACGACGCATGGACTCGATCTACTGAATGACCATTGTCTCTGCAGCCAATATGATTGTTCCAAGGCAGCTGACGGTCGTTGCCAAAACCGCTGCACCATCAACATCAAATCTTCCACAAGAAGTCCTGCAAAGTTGCATCTGGCTTTTTGAAAGCCTTGAAAACCCTCACAGCATGTCGAAATAACGGTTCCCGAGCCAGAAGATCCCTCTCGCGGTTGGTATTTCCGGGCAATGCGTCGAGGATTTCCAAAAGATCCTCAATAGCAAAGCTTGAAACTGAGAGACCGTGGTACATCCAGTCCTTCCATAACCCTTGTTCTTTGTACTTGTTCTGAACCTCCGGAACAGCGAGGATACCAAAGCATTTCAGCAATGGCTCGCAGTACACAAACAGCTCGAAGAAGTTGACTCGAGCGATCGGAGCCGACCCCTGGACCTCTGACAGCACCGCCTCAAGGCTCTTGCCAGCGTATCCGGACCAACTATCCTGGCGGAGGAGGTCACGAGCACGATTAACCTTTTGGGTATTAGTCTGCACTTGTGCAGCGCGTCTGTCGTCGCATTTTGGCTTCTCGTTCTTGTACATCTTGCACAGAAATCTCCCATTTATCCGATGGTTAGTGTAGTGTTGGTCACAAAGTCCCCAGTAGATTTCTTGGTTAGATGGTGAGAGCAGGTCCAGTCCACGTTCAAACTGGGCAGTCCCGGAACGCTCCACCCTGTGGCTGTTGTAAACTGCCAAACGAAAGGGCGAGAGGAATTTGTATTTCGGAACGGTCCCCTGGAAGACCCCTTGAAGAAACATGTTGGATAGTTCTTCCAGCACGGGAATCTGCGGGATCTGGAATTCGTCGAAGCCTCTGATCCGCAATGCGTTGTAGAGGTGCAGTGTCGTCCTGATGACAGCCCAGTAACTGCAGGCCTGTCCTCCGACCCTGATAGCTGCCGTGAGCATGTCCAGCATATGACAACCCACAGTCCAGGGAGAGTCGTGGTAGATGCCAGACTTTTCATCGCTCTTATACACCTCCAGGCCTACGATGAGGGTCTGAAGACCTTTAAAGATGCTGCCACTTGGGTGGTAACGTTGGACTGCCTCAAGAACGGGTGTGAGCGCCTCGGTTATGTCCATGGCGAAGCGAAGACCTTGAGCACGACAGGCGCTACCTCTTAAATGGGGGTATGGCAACGTCGCCGCTTCAATCTGAAGAATGATGCTCATTGCCACCACCATTTCTCCATGGGCGACCCGCGTTTTCTGCAACAAGAACGCCTGCCCAAAGTCGAAGAAGGCCTCACAGATGTCGACGAATCCATCAAGGTGATTTCCTTTAATCATCTCCACGACACTAATTCCACGGTCCAGCGGTTTCTGGTGGGTTTGAATGGCACCCATAAGGTCGCGAATCCTTTTTTGATCATCCTTTGAAAGGAAGTTTTCCAAGTGAGGGATCTCAGACGAGGGTGGGGTCCGAAACTGATCTGGGCAGTCTGGTGTGTTGCAGACCGCGGGTTGCACGTGAACTTCAGGGGGCTCGAAGTTCGCCCCCAAGCCTCGCCCATAGTCGTTGATGATGCTGGCAATCATCCACATTCTCCGCGCAAGAATGACGAATATGCCCGGATGTCCGGTGTTCGTCAAGTGGCGGATAAAGTAGTGTATGAGGTAGCATTGTTGGCAAGTACAGTTGTGCTTCGAGAAGAGGCACAAGGCGGAACAATCTACCTTTGGCGCTCTCCGGTAGTTCAAGGACGCGATACAGTTGGACTGAAAGGCAGCAATCAGAAGGGGAATCTTGCCTTCGCCTGCGGATTTCCAAATAGTATGGAGGTGGATATGGAAAAGATTTATATCCTGGGACATCGTGAGCTACACTGGAAACAGAAAGGACGATACTGGTGAGTCTTACCACCAGGAAACGGGCCGCATCATACGCCACGCCGATGTCGTCATCGTCCAAGACGAATTCTTCGGGTTTCTTTGGTTCAGTCTCGGACTCTGGTTTGCTTGGAGACGGCGATGTCGGAGCAGCTGGCGTCGCGCTGTTGCTCGCTCGCGATGGTGAACTGTGAGGAGAGATGTTCAGGTCCTCCATCAAGGAAGCAAACTTATTGTTTTGTTGTTCCAATTTGCTACGAGGTCCTGCATCTTCTTGAAGGCCCAGATAGTCTTCGAAAGGAACTTCTTGGGCCTCCAGGGGCTGCAAGATGGCCAACGTTTGTTCAAGCCTGCATACAGCGCTGCTTAGCAGGGTGTCCATTGAGTGTCAACAGCTGATATGTACCTCCTGACAAAATGGCGATGCCCGCTATCGCCGCTCCCAGAGCTTTCATACGATTGAGTCACCATCTTCCGAAATCGAATCGCGTCGCGCAGAGCCCCAAGAACGGAACCTGGGACGGGCTGACCAGCATCGCGGACGGTACGAGAAACTTTGATGATATTGCGTGTGTTTCTGAAAGGCTTGACTCCTGCAGCGGATCGAGGGTCTGCTTGGTGATAGGCGCACCATAGCCATCGCAGGAAACAATTGTTTGAGCTTTTGTAGCGCTTCAATTGGTTTTGAACTGTGGTCATGTCCAGAGTAGCTTCCATCTTGTATTTGCAATAGCGGCTTGTTCGTAGAGGTTACAGAAACAGTAGGACAATGGCCTCACATTCTCTTGAAAGCCGCAAGAGTCGCAAGAAATGACTTCTGTACTTATGAATTTCCAGAACTCGGAGGACTTGCTCATCTCGTGTCTATTTTGAGCTTCTTGTACAATGTCGGTCTTTGTTCACTCGCGTACGGCGTGTTTGTGGAGCCGACTGCGACAGTCAGGAAAATCCAGGTTGGGTTGCACACACAGAGGCCATGGGGCTAGTGGGGGCCATTGGGGTTTTAGCACATCCGTTAAGATAAGGAGAAGGACGTTAATGATGGAGACATTGAGTAGAGCAATTGGGAACAGCGAGGATGACGAGTGGGAATCATACGAACGACGGCTACGGATAGAAGCAATCGTAGCGAGGACAGCAACAGTGCCAAGGAATGAAATGAGCCAGTTCTCTCCGCCCAGGTTTCCAAATGAATATTGCTTGCCTCCATTTCTTGCACTCTAGTGTTCCGGCTTCATCACATCCCATTCAGCCAGGGACTTCATGACAACTTCCGCAGAATGCGTTACACCGATATCAGCCAGGCTCCGTTTTCATCCATGAAGAATGAGAGGGTGGAATGCGTTCAATGAAGCAACCGAGTCTATTTTGCTCAAAGAAACATCATCTCTTGGGCCCGACGTCTTTGCCATTGTTTGAACAAACACTTTGACAAATAAAGAGTGCGGATTGTGCGCGACTCGAAATAGAGCGTCTCAACTCATGCGTCTCAATCCTTGCAAGTAGCCAAAATTCGTATTAAGACAGCCTTCCGCATCAACGATGGAGTGCTCTCGTAACCTCCTAGCCATCGACGAAACGAAGCCTCGTCAACCATGGATTCATCAGCCATGGACTTGGATCATTACCCGCCGGATCTGCGACAACTTCGCGATTCTTATAAAGCTGCGACAAATTGTTTCTTGCGTTGGCTCTGGTGTCAATACCACATCATAGTACCCGATGAGGCCAGCAACGCCAGCACATTCAAAAACACCGCTCAAATGGTCTGGGTCGCGAGAAAGGTAGAGGAGGCAAGAACTGATGTACCAAAGTCCATCATCAGCTCTCTTGACGATGCTATCCGAGACAGGACTATGGTCTTTCAGATGTACGACGACGCTGAAGCGGGGCACAAACATATTATCCGGACGTATGTTACATGAAAGCACATCGATCAATGGTACTCTTCCTGACACACCTCAGACTCCAAGACATACATCGGATTTTGAAGCCTCTTGAGTCGCAGTCGGCAGATGTCGTTTTCGTCGACTACGCTGCGGACGCCCAGCAAACCTTATGGAACAATGCGTTTCAGGCTCTTCACGTCGATGACACGCCGGAATCGTCTCATGGCTCCTCGCATAGCGGCTCTGAAAACAGCGGTACTGGCCATACGTCTTCACCTGCCTCTGCTCCAACCCAACCGGCGCAGCCTCAAGCTCAGCCCATGGGCCCGATAGAATTCGACCTAGAAGACGACGAAATGACGCACATGATTGACTCGGCGTGGTTCCTCATCGTAAGATCCATCAAGCCCTACGTGGTGGAAATCTTGCATCTGACCGTTAATGTGCGTCCAGGAAATGAACAAGATGCGCGCTCAGCTTGAGCAGATCTGGGCAGAGGCGGCCAGAGGCGATATCCCCATCGTCTTCGCCGCTTGGCTGACCAGTCTTGCCGTCTATGATATGTCAGACCGAGATCACATGCCGCAAGACTATCTCAATAAGTTCTGTCTCATGCAGGCGTACAACTGTCGGTGCAACAGTTGTCAAATGGTACGCTCTTCGGTCCGGAAACTCGACGACGAGCAGGACCCGGACGAATGTCTCCAGTCCGCTGTCAGGCTGTTCAAGACAGCCAAAGCCATCGGGGAATACGGTCAGAGAATTGGCGAATTTCGTGCACCTCAGATCGACGGCCAACCATGCGGCAGTGGAGAAATGTTCACGTACGACATCACCAATAGAAACATGGGAAGCGAACCGCCATCATTCCCAGATTCATACCGAAACCGAATTCACGAAACTCTAGAATCAGTCAGGGTCTCGTTACCACTGCATGGGCGTTATGCCAGAGCCATCGCCCGCGCGGAACGCCTGAGACTGGACCGCTACAGGGGCATCAAGATCTGCGAGGCCTTCTTCGATGTTGCTCAGCGATTCTTTCTTCAGGAAGAATCTCCGCGAAAACCATCGATATTTCTTGTCACAACAATGGACCTCTTCATGCTGACCGCAGACGCGGCATCGACACATGGTGGCCGTCTAGGCGGCACTCAATGCCGAGTCGCGACTCTCGAACTTGCGTTGCAGGTGCGGGATTGCCTTGCGCAGTTCAAGCCAGACACGGACCTTCTGGAGCATCACCCACACGTCGCTGACCAAGTCCGCGACCTGTCTACGGCCATTCATTACTACATCATGGAAACCAAGTCCGGTCTCTACTACGAGTCCCCATGGACTATGGGCTGCCACATGTTGGAGTTTCTCACCACCGCGAATAACATTGGCTTGAGAGTATGCAAGCGGTATGCCGTTTTCCAGTCGATATTGCACCTGTACAACGCCATGCGCCGCTTGAATATCAAGGAGCTTTCCATTCCGAAGAACTACGAGCTGGAGAAACTTTGCCAGATGTTCGTCTGGCCAGTATTCAAAGGGAACATGCCAATGAGCGGTTTTCTCTCCGTCTTCCTCCTCGCCGTATATCAAAGCGGCACAGCGGACAATGTCAAGTATGGAGCAGCCTCCAGACTTGAACGAGGAGTGACCTTCTTGCAGGCCGAGCCATATAGCTGCTGGATTTCGCTTACCGAACAGCATGCTGACCTGCACTCTCAAGATCCCATTTTCTTAACAAAGGTCTATAACAGGCCCGTCCCATTAGTCTGCCCATGCCTTGAATGCACGGAGGGCACGTCGTCGGCATATAGGCGCAAAATTGAACAGGCCCTGAGAGAGCATGCAAGCACCAAGCTTTCTGGGTACACAGCCAAAGCCAGAGCTCTGCTGACGGAAGAGCTTTCCGCAGCAACCCCTCTGTCGCGGCTCAACATGCTGAAGCTGTTTCAGGCGTACGCCGAAATGCTGAGTGCCTTCGGCAGACTGGTGCGGCCTGAGTTGGAACCTGCGTACCGGAAACAGCGGGTATGGAGGAACGAAATGAAGTACGGGCTGGTTCCCGGTCGTTTTGCTGTTGAAGACACGTTGGAGCTGATCGACCTGAACTTTGGCGGCACCACGAAGGAGAAAAGGCGTTTGGCGAGACATCCGCTGCTCCTGGGTGCCGCGAAGATGTTTAACGATATGCAAGAGGGCAGACAGCCAGAAGATGCGAAGCTGGAGAGGTTTCTTTGGGATCTTGCGTGAGAGGTGTGATCAGTTGGAAGGTTTGTTGAGTTGGGGTATGTTTACTTCACATGGTTGGGTGTTCAATGGACAAGGACGAATAGGACGAGGAACGAGGATTGCCGGCGGCAAGACGCAGTTCTTCGCTGAAGTTTGAGGTCTAGATGAAGATCCTGTTGTCGAGGAAAACTGTAGTTGTTTTCTTTTCCCTTCTCATTTCTGTTGTCGCGTTTTCTTCATGATTCAAAGTATACACCCGGCACACGAATATATCTGACAATGTAATGCTGGCCTGGCGATAAATATCCTGGTTATACAAGACGGGCGTTGGAGGCGGTAGAACTCCAGAAAAACATTACGAAACGTGCTTAGGAACCAAGTCGGATTCCATTCGTTTCCTCGTGTGCCTCATTGAGTCCCATCGGGGAGGCATAGGGGACTTAAAGACCGCTTAGTTTTCCTGTGCCTGGATGTACTCGGTGACTCTGACGAGGAAGATAGCAATAGACGACGACGATAGACGACGACTGTGGTAGGAACAAAAATAGCAATAGTACTAGCAACGATGATAGCGACAACAACAGCAACGACGAAAGCAAGCATAGAGAAAAAAAACAGCCGCTCTAGCGCAGGAAAACAGGGGGTCTGAAAATAAAAGAGAAAAAACCTCACGATGTGTTGGCCGAGCTACCAAAAGCCCGCCCACAAAAGCTTCGAGCCAATCGGCAGGCGGCGCGATTGAATGGGCCTGGTCGACAGAAATACCCACAAACACGGAATTGGGAACACCACCAAAGCCCGCGTATCCCGCGCGCGCCCTGTCGCCTGCCCCCCGGGAACACCGACCGGCCAAGACCGTGTGCGCTGGTTTTTTTTGGTTTTCATCGGCGCAAGGAGCCGGATCGGGGCAAGCCGAGTCGGTGACGCAATTTTGCGTGCCTCACCGGTGGGAGGTCTCAGTCTGCAGTGCCTCGCCTCGGAAAAGGCGTTGGTCGGATGTATTTTGAACCCCGTTATGGGAATTAGCAATGCAGACATTGGACTGGTGTGATGGGGTAGCTAAAATGTTGCGTGAAATCATAACACCGTTAGTGATTCATCAAACAGACCGAGGTGCACGAGATAAGGTCCAGGGGCGAAAAAAGAAGGAGGGAGGAGGAGGGGTCCCGCATTCCGTCACCCCACCTTCACCACCAAACTTTATATCATGACCCTGCCCAGCCAACCCGGAGCTCAGCCGGCCAGCTCTCAGACGTCACTCAGCCAAGCTTAATCTCAACCTCACTCACCTCACCTCACTTCATCTCTCAACTTCGTCTTCACCATCTTCACCCATACAACCTCACATTCAACCGTACCAAAAGACCCACAACCACAAACATGGCTACACCAGCACCCCCCGCCGAGATGCGCCGCTGGCAGATCCCCGCCCCAGGCACCTTCATCCAGTCCCTCGCCCTCACCACCGTGCCCACCCCGTCCGCCACCGACCTCAAGCCCTCGCAGGTCCTCGTCCGCGTCGCCGCCGCCGGCATCAACCCCGCCGACTACAAATTCCCCGACCTCGGCCTCGTCGCCAAGGCCATGATCTCCTTCCCCAAGTCCCCGGGCATGGACTTCGCCGGCACCGCCGTCGCCGTCGGCTCCGACATCACCGACATCCAGCCCGGCGACCCCGTCCTCGGCCGCCTCGACCCCCTCGGGCCCCAGGGCACCCTCTCGGAATACATCCTCGCCGAGCGCGACGGCTGCGCCCGCCTGCCCACGTCCGGCGCCCCGGACTTCGACCAGGCCGCCGCCGTCGGCACCGCCGCGCTGACCGCCTACCAGACCATCGCCCCCTACGTCCAGCGCGGCGACAAGGTCTTCATCAACGGCGGCTCCGGCGGCACCGGCACCTACGGCATCCAGATCGCAAAGGCCCTCGGCTGCCACGTCACCGTCTCCTGCTCGACGCCCAAGATCCCGCTGTGCAAGTCCCTCGGCGCCGACGAGGTCATCGACTACAAGACCGCCGACGTCGTGTCCGCCCTCAAGGCCCAGGGCAAGGTCTTCGCCCTCGTCGTCGACAACGTCGGCAACGCGCCGCCGAACCTATACAAGGCGGCCGACGACTTCCTGCTCCCCGACGGCCGCTTCAAGTTCGTCGGCGGCGCCGTCTCCTTCGCGCAGGTCAAGTCGCTCGTGCCGAGCATGTTCCTCCCCGGGTTCCTCGGCGGCGCCAAGCACCGCTTCGAGGCGTTCATGACCAAGAACTCGCACCCGGACCTGGCGCAGATCGCGGCGTGGATGGCCGAGGGCAAGGTCAAGAGCGTCATCGATTCGGCGTTCGAGTTTGAGGACGCGGTCAAGGCGTATGAGAAGCTGAAGGAGGGCAGGGCGGCGGGTAAAATTGTCGTGAGGGTATCCACGAAGGCGTGAGCATGATTGCAATGTCGTTAGTTTGAAGGAAAAAAGGGTGAGATGGATGTTTGGGAATAGGGCTTCTGGCGTTGTTTTGCTCCGCGATTGGGATTGCCATCGGATTCATGACATATCTACGTTGAAATTAAAAAGTTATCACAAAACAAAAATGTGAGATTTACAAAAAGCTACCCAATTTGCCATGTTGGGAGTGTGAATTGAGTTGGCTTGGCCGTCAGCGCTAATGTAGGCACGCCGCCAGAGGGTCCCGGAGCAAGCCGGCGACGACGACTCAATCCCTCCCCCTCGCGCTTGCTTCCGATAAAGCACGAGCCAGCCCGTCACTCTACTGGTTCATCTCATCCTCCGACTGACAGCAGGATTTCAGCCCTGTCACACGTCTGTCTCAAGACATTTATCGCTGACAGCTCGATCCAAGGCAAACGGCCACTGTTGGGCACGTTTTGCTCCGATACGCCACACGAGAGCCAGGGAGAATCGCATAATCTGAGTCTACATCTCCAAGACACCGTTTTGCTTTTTCCACGTACGGCGCAGATTTGCATGTGATGTCGTGATTCTGGCGGTGAGACTGGCCCAGCGCTGCTTCAACGGGTTAAATTCGTCGCAACTGATCGAAAAGCTGGGTAAAGGGGAGGGACTGGCAAGACCTAGACTCAGAAAGGATCGAAACCGGCTGCTGGATATCAACATCAACAAGGTTGGAGACGGGTTCATCAAGCATCAAATCATTCACATTGTACACATAGTGTTGCCAAATTCTTTATTGGCTACTACCTCCCTTTTCCAAGGAGTTCAAATCTCAATATCAGCCCTCCATTGGGCAACGACCAACCTCCCGCCGAGTCCAAATCCGTCGTCTGTCAATAAGCGTTTTCAAGGCCGTATGCCATCCGCCACCGGCGATCATTCTTCGAGCAAGCCTGATTAGACCTCCCCATTGCGAAAAAGAAAACAAAAAACACAGTTCCGTTGCGGCCGGTGACCATCCGAAAGTGTTTCCCCTCCCTGATTCTTTTTTGATAGATCGTACACACGCTCAAAGACCATACACAGAGTAATGAGTAGAGAGAAGAAAGTTTTCCCTGTAGAGAGAGAGAATGCATGAATTATCCTTGCCGCCCGCAGTAAAACCGTCCACGGGCCCAAAGAGATTCGTTTGCCGACAAAACCGCAAATCACAACGTGCCGGGGCACCCAGGTCACGACCACTCAATCCTATCGCTGGGGGCCTGAGGAACCAGTGTGCGACTGAGTTGGCCGACGACCACTACCTCTCTAGTGGTAGTTTCCGCCCCAGCCGCCGCGCGCCTGCTGGTTGTTGCTGCCGTAGTATCCACTGCCGTAGCCGCCCTGGCCGTAGGATCCAAACGGAGCAGCGCTGCCGTGCTGTCCACTGGTGGCACCGCCCATGCCGTAGCCACTGTTTCCGTGGAGGTTGTGGCCCTGGAGGTGGCTGGGGTAGCCTCCGTAGCCGCCCATCTGAGAGGCGGACTGAGGAGGAGGCAGACCGGACTGACCGGGGGTGTTGTTGGTGGCCGAACCAGGACGAGCGCCGCCGAGCGAAGGTGAAGGGCCGGAGCCGGGCTTGCTGTCACCGAAGGGCTTCAAGTCATCACCGGCGGAGGCAGCGTTAGACTGCGCGGTGCTGTTAAAGCCTTGTCCACCAGGTGACTGGAAGGAAGAGCCTCGGCCGCCGAAGCTGTCCTGCATGCCGCCAAAGCCGCTGGCGCCGGCCAGACCAGGCTGGTTGCCAGACTGAGCAGAGCCAGCGCGGGCACCGAAATCACTGCCCAGACCAGAGGCCAGACCGCTGTCCGCACGGTGCAGAGAGGACTGGCCGAATCCACCGGCAGGAGAGGAAGCGTGGTCGTAAGGGCCCTGGGGCGACATTCCGTAGGGGTGGCCGTAGCCCTTGCCGTAAGGGGCGCCGCCGTATCCCTGCTGGCCGTAGTGGCCGTAGTTCATGTAGTTGGAGTAGTAAGCGTTGTTGTAGTAGGGGTGGCTGTTGTAAGGGTAGCCCTGCTGGCCGTGAGACTGAGGCTGCGAAGCCTGGCTGGCCTGCTGTTGGCTCTGAGCCGTGGGGTTCGGGGTGGTGTGGCCACTGTTCTGGGCATCGCTGGTGACACCTCCGTAGCGAGACTGGTTCTGGACGCCGCCGCTCTGGGGGTATTGGCTGAGGTTATCAGCCTGCTGCGATGCATTGTAGCCTCCGAAACCTCTCTGCTGCTGGGAGGAGAGGCTGTCCTGGTGACCCTGAGCACCTTGCTGGCCGTAGGGCTGGTTGTAGTAGTTGTAGGGGGGTCGGCTTTGTTGGTCGGCGGTGTAGTAGTTGGAGTATTCGCTGGGCGCAGAGCTGAAGGCTCCACCGGGCTGCTGGTTCTGCTGTTGCGATTGGGTGGGGAAGCTGTCGAATTGGCTCTGGGTGGCAGAGGGGTTCGACTGGGTGAAGGGATCGATGGGCTTCTGTTGGAAGCCAGCGGGCTCCTGAGAGCCAGCCTGGCCGAAGCGCGAGTAAGACTGCTGCTGAGCAGCGGGCTGAGGAGCTGCCTGGGTGTAAGTAACTGATGAACGAAGCTGCGACTCTATCATGTTCTCAAACATACTCTGGTTGGAAGCAGGAGGCTGGGGAGCGGCGCTAGCAGGGCCTATGGGGATATTAGCATTCATGGGGACAGGGGTCGTCGACATGTCAATACCAGTAGGCGTAGCGGCAGCCGCGGGGGGCAGGCCAGGAGCGGGCTTCTGGGTGCCAATGGCCTCGGGAACGGGAGCTTGTTGGGGAGCGGGGGGGAGAGAGGTTCGGGGGTGGGCGACGGGGGAGTCGGCGGGGGGCTGAGTTCTGGTCTCGGGCTCTTCGCGGTCACCATCGATGTCGTCCTCGTCGTTAAGGCTGAAGGCACCGAACTGGACAGCAGCGCGGTCTACCTCGCGGTTGCCAGGCATGCGCACAGCCTCCTCCTGGTCCAGAACACGGCGCTGGTAGCTCGGGGTACGAGAACCCCTCTCGGTGGTGGCCTTGATGGCTGAAGCGGCAAAACCGCTGTTAGCAGTGGGGACAGCAGGACGGATGGGCTGGTGTTGCTGCTGCGAGGCAGACAGAGGGGTCGCGGTCGCGCTGGCGGCGGCCTGGCGGGGGTCCCAGGAGTCGGCGGTCGTGCTGGCAACGGTAGCAGTCGCGGGCGGATGCGATTCGTCGACTACCTGTTCAAGATTCGTCTCAGTGAGTTGGTCCTTGGAAGGCGGCAAAACCACTTCGGGTTCAATGACGGTTGGTACTTCTGCAGGAGCTGGTTCTTCATGTTGAACGGGTTCGGCGGCGGGGAGTTCAGCGATGGGCTCCGGCTGCGGCTCAGGTTCAGGCTCGGGCGCGGGTGTAGGCTCTGCAGCAGGGGCCACGGGAGGCAGAGGCTCGATGGGTTCGGCAGGCTTGGGTGCGGGCTCCTCCTTGGGGGGCTTCGGGGCGGCCTTGGGAGCGGTCGACTGACGGAGCATGCTGGCCCACGTCTTGGGGATAGGAGCGGCGGGCTTGGCGGCCTCGGGTGCAGCAGCAGGAGCGGGAGCGGCGGCGGGCTTCTCGACAGTCTCCTTGGGGGCCCAGGGGTCCTCGGCGGCGGGGGCCTCCTTGGCCTCGGAGGGAGTGTTCCATGCGTTCGACTCCTCAGTAGGGACGGACAGCGGCTGAGCATTCTCCTTGGTGTGGCGGGTGCCATTGGTGGCTGCCGAAGCTCTGCCACGGCCACCGCGAGTGCCTCCTCTTTCAGTGTTCCTGCCGCGGCCGCGACCAGCGTCCGACACGTTGCGTCCGCCTCTAGCGGGTCTGGCATTGGATGAGTCGATGATGGGGTTGGCAGTCGAGGGCTCCTTGGCCTTGGAGCGGGGGGCCTTCTTTGTGACCTCACCCCATTGGGAGATGGTGCCTGGAGTCGAGAAAAATTAGCAAAGAAAGACCAGATGCGAAAGCAGGTTCAGCGAGGTGGAATGGCGAATAAGCGCGAGGGCAATTGCGCAAGGCTGAAGATGACAGCCTGACGGGGCAGGGGGGTGATGTGTGCGCATGATGAGCGGCGGCGGTGTCTACGTACCTTCAGCAATGCGGGTGACGGCGAGGTTCTCGTCGCCATCTGTCTCTTGGAGAGCATAGAGAATGTCCTGTTCAGACCAGTCGGGGAACAGCTCCTTGATAAGAGGGGTCTTGCTGCCGTATTGCTTCTTCAGCTCGCCGAGCTCGCCTTGGTCCTCAAACGCAGTCGCATCGTCGGTGTCCTTTTGGTCGAACTTGTCGCCATTGGTTCTGCCTTGGGTGCGGCCACCTCGACTGGCGAATCCACCTCTTCCACCGCGACCAGAACCTCTGCCGCGCGAGGCGGCAGTCCGAGTCTGTACCTCAGACATTGCTGGGTTGTGATTGTTTTGTGAGGTTGGGTTGTTGGAGGATTTTTTTTCCAGTAGTGGAAAAATGGGAGTCAATTAATGCCGGCCGGTATCGACACGACAGCTCTGGTGGGGGGCGAAAGTTCAGCGGAACTCAGGCCGATGTGAAGAAGGAAGAGAAAAAAACGGAAAAGAAAAGAGTGCCGCAAAATGGGGGGTTCGACGACGACGTCGTGGTCGTGGCTGACGGTAGACGAGACAGGTGAGGTTTTGGTGGTGGTGGTGGTGTAGGTGGGAGAAAGTGAGGTGGATGATGGATGAATGTGGAATGTTGTGCAAAGCAGCCAACTGGGTGCAAGGTCACAGGTGCTGTGGTGCGGTGCACTGGGCTGGGCTACGGGACCAGCTCTGACTGCTTGGAAAGGGAGGTTTTTTCCCGCCCAGGCTGCTGCCAGCACTGTGGATGATGGGGAAGGGAGGTCTAGGCAGGCAGGCACATTTGATGGTTGGTGTCGGTACATCTGCAGCTCAGTGGCCAACGTCAGTGGTAGCAGCAGCGTCAGCGAGGTGAGGTGGCCTGTGGAAGTGGACCACCAGCGAGGTCGATGCCCTGCAAACTGTGG